TTAATACGATTAAATGTTCACAGTATACCAGTATGAAAACTTATTTTAAAGGTGATAACTCATTCAAAAATATATGAAAGTGGTCAACTGATTTTAATGAATTCAAAAACTGTTACATTAATGATCTGTAGTCCCATCATCTCAGAAATGAAGGAGAAAAAAGCAAGTTAAAATACATGTAGATACTGAACTAGTTAAACATAATCCAGTTATTTTCACGAATATCCAATCATTAACTGTTATATGAATGATATGCTCCTGAGAGAGATACTGCTATACCCGGGGGGGGGGGAGAGATACTAGCATAAAAGGAGATCCAGTCAGTTTTTAATGAAAATTATAAATGAGAATGGTTGAACAATGTCTGGTGTGTTTTACTAATGACCAGTCTTTATTACTCCTTACTGAGTGGTCATTATAGTATATCAGGAGTAATTTCCCATGGGAACTATGGAAGCACCATAGTTTGTTTTAATGTATTGTCCCATTGGTTCAATTAACAGGCCTGGTCCCTAAGGTTTTGTCAGGTCACACTGCAAAATGTCAGTATGTCTTCTGTATATATTACAATAGAATAGATTCTAAATAGCTTTAAAATCTCGCTAAATCTCGTTTTTTCATGAGATTTTTAGAGATTTGCACTTTTTACCTCTAATGACTTACTTTTCTTTATTTTTGATGGCATATTTGAATTCAATGACAAGTTTTCTCCAATAATAAGCTTGATTTACACAGTTATGTCATTTAAATCATTTTCCATGACATTTCAATGCTAAGATTCATTAAAACCTTGGCTTATTCGTATGACAATCAACATTTTCATGTTTAAGCACAATATGTACATTAACAGTATCATCCGATAGTATGCCATTCGAGTTTCAGACAGATTCAACCAACACTTTTTGACAAATCATGAAATTAAGTGACTATTGCAAGTTTCTAGCATTGAACTGAATGGAGGTGTGGCCCAAGAAAATCAAAGACAAACAAGGGTGACATCTATTATGTCAGCGTTATTCAGCTATTTAGAAACTATACAATTGTATCATTATAAAGCAGAAAGTATTTTTTGTTCTTGATTGATCTTTTATGTCGGTCCTGTCTTCTATTCTACATGTATTTTGTAAGGATTATGTATTCTGCGGTATGTTTGTGTGAATGAGATTTAGGCCTCTAATTAATCCTGTTTAGCTATTGGTGATATGACTAAATACTAAATAGATCAAACAATAGTATGAATTGCAGTTTCCATCTCTTCTAACATGTGGTGCTAAAGGTATTAAAGGTATTACAATTTCAAAGTAATCCCTAACCCCCCAACCCCCCCCCCCACCCCCCCCCCCCCCCCCCCCCCTACCCCTTTGTCACATTTTAACAACCTGGATGTGTGAAGGAACCCTTTTCATTAATTTGATTTCAAGAGATCTCAAAAGTTCTTACTGGGTCTGGCTGTATACAGGGAGGGAATAGAAGGTTCAAAGGGCAACATTTGAACTTGTTGCAACTTTAAGGTGAATTTAGAGACTCAACAATCAATTAAAATTATTTCTGATGTATATCTATGTAGTGTTGTTCAAAACATGACAGACTATCAGGTTAACATGTGCTTTATCTTCTTGTACATGTAGTCATCCTGTAAATAGCCAAGGTGGGAGTTAATAGAATCTTATCTCATCAAGTCCTCTAGTTTTCCAAGTTGAAACACACACAGTGAACAGGTTAGCTGGGGTGAAGTAAGCAATCAAGGTAAATAAATAAGAACATTTTCAATTAGTTTTGCTTTCATAATATCAAAGAATATTTCTTTTTGACAAATATACATCTTGATTCTAAGGTATGAGAGTATGGTTATAATCATGTTATTATTATTAAAACGAAGAATCAATCATGGTAAATAAACATGAACATTTTTAATTAGTTTTGTTCAATGGATGAATTGATATTTCATTTCTTTTTGGCAAATATATCTATAAATGGAAACTAAGTAATGGTTTGCTGTATTATAGAGCTGTTCTGGCATTATTCTAATGTCATACAACCAAACAGCCATACAAAATATCTACATTTTACTCCAGTCAAAAATAATTCTACAAGTCATCAGCAAATCACTGATAAAAAATAGAAATTTTGAAAAGAAAGAGGCAAATGTTTTTAACCAATGCAACTGTCTTGGTTGCTTCAACAATAAGCTGAGTGCCATCAGTCTTTTGATAATATTTAAGTACTTCATGTCATGTTGCTGATTAGTAAACCTGTGGGGATGTCTTTGATTGACAGGTCATTAGGAAATAACAATGAAGCCTTATATGTGATCTAACATGTATTGATTTTTGATTTTTTATGTCAAAGAATTCTTTTACTTATATATCAGTTTTCAGTAGAGACATGTTAGATTGATGTTTCACCACAGTTGTTCAGGATTTGCCTTGACAAGACAATACAACGTACACATGATAGTCTATAATACTGAAATAAATAATCCTATGACCTAACATGAGTTTTCAAAAGCAAAATGAATATAACATTTCACATCATCAATAATTGTTAAAACAGAATCCCTTTGACATTCTTCGATATAGAGCTACATGCCTCACTCTGTTACATAGTATAGCACGTACACATTTGAGCAATCTGTTCTCATTCCATGACAGGCAATCTGCCTAATAGCCTCTCATATTTTCCTCCATGTATCTCTATGACATTTGACATGATAAATTGTTTTTTATGTAGGTTATTTTGTGTATTGTTGTTATATTGGCATTTTTAGGAATCTGCTGGATCATTTTTTTGTTACATTCAGAATTATAGTAGATAAATCTCCACCAGGAGGGGTGACTGACATGTTGTTACAGTTTCCAACTTTTTTTGTGAGCAATGTTCAGCAGTTGGTATTTTGTGGTTGGCATTTGTTGGTCTGCATCTGTAACAAATGACATGTGGCTGTACTTCTACATAATTTGGCGCCAAATTGTTGAAGTCCACCAAATTAAGTAGCCACCAAATTCAATATTTCATATTTCAAACAGCAAATCCGCCAAAATAAATAGCACCAAATTAAGTAGAAGAACAATAATGCCTTGTTCGTCAATGCATCAAAGGATCAAAACAACTATTTTGGTCATATTACACAAGCAATACATACAAATTACCGTGATATATGCTACTATGACTCATTGTCACATTTTGCATCACATTCTACACATATCCACCTTATCTAATAAATTTTCATCCAACCAAAGTCACAACAAAAATGATCACAAAGGAGAATTATTTCATCTCAAGTTGAGCCATTTATATTGATTAACTCAAATAAAGACATTCCATATAACTGTCAAATATCTCACTATGTCTTGTTATAGTGTTGGAATTAATTGTCATCTTGGATGAAAAAAGTGCTTAATATATTCATTGGTGGTGAGTCACATTTCCTAAGCACTGTAATAATCCATGATTATCTGCCTCCTATAAATCACTGAGAGATCTTCTCACAGCTAAGTCAATTCTAAGTGAAATTCTTCTTTGTAATGTCACATTGACTCCATTAATGTCCTTATAACTCAATTGCCTTAAAAATGAGGTGTTAGCTAGCAGCACCCAGGTGGTTGCACCTCATTGATAATTTACTTTCACCCTGTTGAAAAAGTCCACCCTCCTGAGTTTGAAATTTACTCCCACCTTATTGGAAATTTCAAGATCAAAATAAAATTGATTAAGATCAAAATAACGCTGCATATGCGAAAACCTTGCATTTGCACGAATACAATATCATAAGGAAAATAATGTGACAATAGTATATGACAGTATGCTTTTGTAATTGAGATATGTTAGATTGGGTTTCTTATTTAATTAGAGTGTGCAGCTCTATAGTCAATAGTTTGCAAAGCATACCAAATATCCAGGTTTACAGTCTATATAACTGACAGCCCCAAGAACTGGCTTTCCTTAAAGCAATCCTTACAGGCCATTATTAATTGGTCACTTGTATTTTATGGAACTGCCCCAGACTATATAAGAATGTTAATTCCAAATATTTTGTTGAAGGTCAACATCTATGTCAGGTAGCTGTCTCTGATAAGTAAAATAGCGAAACCTGCACCTTAAAAGAACAAATTACACTAGATTACAAAGTTTTGAAGTAAAAATATTTGTCTTTTATGCTTTTTGCATATTTGTCAATGCTCTTACATGTTAGCTCATCTGAATGTGGTAATTTAGTCTATGCCACCTCAAGCAGTTTGGCTACAGTAATGTAGAAATAGTACTATAAGTATGTACCAATATAATAGGCTTTTGCATGAGGCCTGAAAGGAACACTTTGTTACCTGTCGTGCCTGGGAGACTCTCTGTAGCTCATTAAGGTGGTTCTCCCCTTACCAAATCACAGGTATTAATTTGATGTATTTTTCTGACTTCTTGCATTAAGGTATATATAGTACTACACAGAACAGCCTCTGGTCTGGGAACCAATAATTTTAACATTATCATCACATAAGGTAGAATTGGTACAATCTTGGTAGAGTTTATATTTGGTTAGCTCTTAACAAGATAGCTCTTGCAGTTGAATGTTAAATACATGTGTCAAAAATGAAGAAACAGAAATATTACTAACCCCAGAATAACAAGTTGAAACTTATGTTCGGGGCATTTGAGTATCTTTGTATATTAACTCCTACTTCTGCGTGTCAGTTGGTCTTTAAAAACAAGGTAGTAATGAGTTAAACCATTCAGAAAACTTTTGCTATATTGAAGAAAATTCTATTGTAAAAATCTGACATATTAACAAACACTATTTTCTTCAACTTAAATAATAAGTACCTAAGAACATTACCACACTGTGGATATGAACATTTAGGAAAATGTTACAACTGTAGAAATGATGGGAACCTACAATAAACAGTATACTCCATTTTTAAAAGAGAAATAAAGCTCACACTAAATATGAACATGCTGAAAGGAATGATAGGCAACTGGGAGATTTATGGCTGTTTTATGTTTTCCAGTTACACTTAGCTGCCCTGACTTCACTAAAGGGGGAAATCATAGACTTGAACAACCAACTGCAGTTAGTGACAGCTGATAAGACACTCATAGAGAAACAGTTGAATAGAACACAGGTAAGAGAGTGACAGTTTTCTAATCATCAATTTGTATTTTCTGAGAAAATGTGGCAAATTAATTACTGGATGTTTTATTTGAGCCTAGAGTTCAATAGATCTTTTCAATGTGCTTAAAAAGTGAAGCCAGTAAAGGGCCTATTATACAGTCTATAATTCTCAGTCTTGCATCTAATTTGTGGTGTCCGTATCATATTCTAGAAGAGGGGGAAATATGCAAGTCAACCTCGGTCACCATTATTTACTGTATTTTGTGAGGGACCTGGATTTGAAGCCATGCTTAAATGAAACTAGCTCCCGTTGATGATCTAAATTGATTTATATTGATAGTCTTAATATTTATTATCTAATAAACTGGAGTATTGAATAATCCATGGTCATAATTATGATTTATTCCTTTGAACAAGAGGATTGCTCCCCCGTGCACAATGATCGATCCCCATGAGGCATTTACAGTCAGTTTCACTATAAATCATTGTGAAGTTGCAATAATGCACATTGTAGTGTTAAACCAATCACTCTTAAAGAGCTTATAGCTGTCAAAACTAATTTAATGATGCACTTTTAATATATTGAATCATCTGTATTAAAATAATTTCAGCAATTATCTACTGATTAATGGCAGACTCGATTCCTGTCATATAATTTTTGTAATGTTTACTCAACACCAACTTTAGACTTGTATTCTATGAGAATGTGTCTTTCTGTTTCGTATAAATTGTTTAGTAACTTTTTGTTTGATTACTTCATAGTTTTTAAACTAATCTTCTACTCAAATATTATTTTTGATTTGTGTTATTGTTTTTTATCTAAGGGTACCCATTCATGGTGACTAGGAACAAACAAATTAGTTGTAACTTTCAAAAGGGAAGTAAAAAATGTTCCATTATGAGTCCCTCTGGAGTAGAAGTGTATTGTGTCGCTGATGACACCTCGAGTGCATGTGTCTGTATTTCACATAGTAATCTAATTGTGTGAGTGAGTGATTGGAGACAGGGCAATGTTCACCAAAGTTATGTTGATGTTAATTTAAAATAACATAATGTCATTTCTCTTAGATGAATAAAAAACAATGTTTTAGATGTTCCAGTCTTCTCACCAGGAATTAATTAGGGTATGCCCAAAAAGTTAAATGCAAGAAATATTTTTCCTCCCAAAATATCCAGTTTGATGCTTATCACATATTTTGTCTTGCAATGTGAAAATGCCACAGCTTAACAATTTAGGCAGAACACATGTTCAGCCATTTTTACATCGGACACACATCTAGAATCACAAAATAGAATGTACCACCCCCTCCCCCCCAGTCTCCCCCCCCCCTTCCAAGATTCCGATGTCATATTCTAGTCAACTATAAAATTTAGACTTGTCTATCTAAACCAGTGGTGCCAGTTCCATTGACCTCCCAAAGGATTCAAATATTTGAAATTTATGTGTTAAACTTTCTAAAAGCTAATGAATAGAAATCAGAAACTGTTTTAATGAGTTGTAGAAAAGTCAACTGATGGGGAAATCAGCCCACTCCTTAACTCATAGATAAATAACTACAAAAATATAATAAACATGGAATTAATATTTTGGGTATGAAGAATAAGCAAATTCAGTACCCAGTCAGTGCTACAGTTGGTCATGTATGTTAACCTATTATCATGTTCTTCTCTTGTTTTTGTTGGCAGACATCCCCAGCAGCAACATCAGCAGGGCAGAGTATCCCAGCTCTAAATACCAACTTTCCAGCTTATTTCACAACCTTATGGCTACTCTTATAAATATGCTTATTGCAGATGTTCTTACATTTGTTTGTACATGTATGTCATACTGTCAATACTTTAATCAGATATGAATTCCTTATATTTTTTTATTTTCTGGGTGAAAAACTCATAAGTGATTGATATTTCATTCATTGGTGACCTATGCCCTTTGAAGCCAGCCTGACCTAACAGACTCATATGTCAGACAATGTATTAGCTAAGTGAATGAACAGGTGGGGAGGATAGGCAATGAATAGCAGTAGGGAACTCTGTTGGGTCAATCCTCCCCATCCCTCCCCAATCCTCCCCCACCCTCCCCAATCCTCCCCTGTCCTCCTTCCTATTTGTCTCAATTGCATCTCCCTTACTTATATAAGTCAAGGAAACCTTCTTTGAACAAGCCTGAAAAAGAAATACATGTATATTGAACTTAAACCTGAATCTAACATGTTATTAATGTTAGTGTTTGGATATTCAAATATTTTAAAATTTGATGTTTTCAGAGTGAGAAGTTGCGTATCCAGCGCGAGTGTGAAGACAGGACAGAGGAACAGAGTTGTCGCTATGAAGAACGTATTATAGAGTTGCACAGTGTCATAGCAGAGTTACGCAAGAAAATAGAACGTCATCATATATCTGTGATAAGGTATGATTATATAATATGATCAGGTATCTATGTAAACATTTACAGTGGAGGTATACAATTTGGTCAGTCTACCTCCTGATTTGTCAAAAAAATGTCAGAAAACTGGGTGGAGATTTGGATGAAATAACATTGATTTAATGTTGATGTTGTTGTTTACAGAGGATGCATACATATTGTACCACTTTTGTATGGTTTCATATGATAAGTTTAAACTTTGTCAAATTGTTCAATATATGGGTAACTATAGTATGTTTTGCATGTTTACATGTTATAGGTCTATAATAGTCACTGGGTCCAGGCCAAATCCTCACAGTTGTTGAGTATCATGTCTAATTTAATTTGGCATATTGTGAACATCCAAATTGATTGAAACAAGTTACAACCATTAGAGTGATATAACTCCCTTGAATGAATTTTTAAAAAATTACATATAAACGTTAACAATATGAAGCAGTGGAATAACTGAGAAAAAAGTGAAAACTTGTGTGCCAGCTGAAAGCATACAAAATCTGAGAAGCACAGATACTTCTATATTCTAGTAAGGATGTATATGTCAATTGACCTGATTGATTATTTAAATCATAGGAGAGCCAATTATTCCTGTACGCACTGTCAATTTTAATTTAAGTCTCTTAACTCAAAAGGTAAATGAAGCATACACTGTTGCATTTGTTTGTTTTTGGCATATGTATTATTGTTATGCATAACAGAAACTTAACTGTCAGTCTTAATAAATACATATACAGGAAATAATGGTATATTGTATTTTCTGACACTTAACATTTCTACTTGGACACATTTGAATGCACTTTTGCATTCTAAGTACATCACAATCGCATTTCATCATGGAGTGAGAAGCTTTATGTTATGTAAAAGGATAACTTTAATAGAGGCATAGTAAAAATAATATTGAAAGACACAATATAAAATTGAGAACTGACAATGCCTGAAAACAATGAATACTTTTTTAATGAAAAAAAGTGTTAGTTCAATTGAGAGGAGTTTACTCAAAAGAGAGATGTTCACCTGTACATGTTAAATGATTTGGATAATTCAACAGGTTTACTTTCCTGTTTTGGATTATTCTGCAGAATTACTGTATTGTTTAATTCTGCATGTTTACTATATTGGATGATTCTGCAGGTTTACTATATTGGATGATTCTGCAGGTTTACTACAGTAGACAATTCTGCAGGTTTACTTCGTCGGATAATCTACTACACTGAATAATTCTGCAGATTTACTCAATTGCATAATTATTACTATTATGATTTACTATACTGCACAATTCTGCAGATTTACTATTTGGGACAATTCTGCAGATTTACTATTTGGGACAATTTTGCAGATTTACTATATTGGACAATATTGCACATTTACTGAACAATTTTGCTTTACAGAGAGGAAGATGAGTTTGAGGAAGGATCTGAAGACAACAGGGGAAGTGCAGATGATGCTCTGAGTGCCAATGAGAACAATGCTAATGACTCAAGACCAGGCAGCTCTCTAGGTATTACATTAAACTATACTTGATCTCAAATCTGCATCTTGACGTTTGCCAGACCAACATTCATTTCAAAGAGGGTCTTTTTCATTTGTTATAGACACCATATATGGCCATTCATTTAGGAACTTGGACATATCTGACATTTATATTTGTGGCTGCATCACAGAATGATTATTATCTTTTATATTGTCAATTTCATATGATACAGTCTGATGCATATCCCCAAATATTGAAGTGGAATATCATGGAGTGTTATTGAGACAATAATTCATAGTATTTTACATTATGAAAAGTTGATAGCAGGCATCATTATCAATTTATTCCCACAACATTGAAGCAGTGTCCTCCTGCTCATCCCAATTATTTGTGTCATCTGGAAGATCTACGCTTTTATTATACCGTTCTGAGAATATTTCACATAAACCGATATAATCACATAATATTTTGAAAATATCCAGAATACAACCAGAATTTATTATTGCAACAGAAAATAGGAAATTAAAATTTTATGTAGTATCTGAAAAAACTAATAGTGGAGCCACAATTATGTTATTTGCATTCAAAGGATTCATCCATACTTTTTCATAAGTAATGTTCAATTGATTTTTTCTAGGGGGTCTTGGGGGAAACGACTTGACGAGTGCGCTGTCACGGGTTGTAACAGAGCTAGAGAGTACAGTGGACCGATCTGCTCACATCACTAGGCAACAGGATGTAGATAGTGATGATGACATACCTGACAATGTAGGTGATGCTGGCAGTATAGAGGAACAGGCTATGCAGGTGAAGAAAATTAATGAAATGTAACATTTTGTCAAATTACTGCTGTTTTAGATATGTTCTCAAAAAGGGTTTTATTTTTTATAAAAGAATTATTTTCAGATGTATTTTATATTTATTTTACTTAAAAAACTACAAAATGCACTTGTCCTTCACTGACAATATATACTTTTGCTAAGCCTTATAATAATGTGTCCCCTCTTGCTCAAACATCCCCTCATAAAAGAGAGATTTATAGGTAGGAAGTCCAGAAGCTTAACGCAAGACTAATAATTTCTAGATTGAATAAGTGTTCATACATGAATGCTATTTTTAGAGTCAAATAAATCTAGTTGTATCTGTTCCTTAAAAGTCCCAGACACTCTTAGGAATAGTGAGTATAATAACCGCTTTCCTAAGAACAAAAGAGAAATGCTAAATGTGATGAATAATCTGAGAAACTCTGATGTTCTAGGCTTGTAGAGAGATGGAGGAGTTGAGGATATCTCCTGGGGTGACATGTAGTGAACAATGTACATACAGACAACAGTTAGTGACCCTAGAAGCTGAGAACCTGGGCCTACAGGAGCAGATAGGACGCCAAGAGGCTGATCTCAATAAGTTCAAGGCCCAAATTGGAAGTGTACGAGAAGAGAGGGATCGGTTAAAGAGAAAGGTGGGTGTATAGGACAGATTTGATTAGAGAATTTTAAGCTTGTATTTCAACCATTAGTTTATATTCATCTAGGACAAAACATTGCACTGATAGAAAATCATTATTCTTCAATTCAAAATCTTTACTTACCCCCCACAAAACAGAATTGATAGATGGACATTCATGAAATACTTATTGTTTGAGAAAATACTCAAAATATCGAAATCGAAAAAAATAATGACAACTTTGTGTGCTTCTTGAAGGTTCGTGAAATGCAGACCAGAATCCAGTCACTAGAGGTCTCCACTAGTCCCTTCAGCAGTAGAACATCCACACCTACCAAATCTCATGTCATAAACCCAACTACAGGAGAGAGGTAGGAACATTTTGAACAAAAAAATAATGTCCTTCTTCTGCTGCTTATGTTGAGTTTATAATTATTAGACAACTTCAGAAATGTTTTGAAAAATTATCTTACCCCCCTATCACACCAAACTAGTTCTTACCCGTTCTTGCCAGTCCTACGAAAACGTCGTAAAACAGGCTCAATCTGGCTGTGGTCGGGAAATATGTCTAAAATAATTAGCTACTTCGTTCATAAACAGTCTTCAATACGTCCATCTCATTCGCAGTTCGTTCAGGTCGCACCACGTCGGTGTGCAACGTAGTATAAACTGTCCCTTAGTCTAGAAGGTCATCATGACCTGATTACAAAACAGTTTGGTCGCCATCGAATTTTGAATCGATTCAAAATTCTAAATCACATACCCCATCCGGGAAAGTTCGTAAACAGACCGTAGAACGTTGTAGCTACGTTCATTCAGTTTGCACACAGTTTAAAACCGATTCAGCAACGTTTTGACGATCACCAGAAAATTTTGAGCATGCTCTAAGTGCTGGAGGACCTACTCGTTCTAGTAGTTTCATGAAGTTTGTAAACAGATCCCAAACGGTTCTTAGTGGGTTCTTAGTACGTCAAATCCGTCCGTGCACAGTTTAAGCCCATTTTCGAGAACGTAGTGAGAACTAGTTTGGTGTGATAGTAGGGTTATTGAAGTGTTAGCGTAAAATCTACCTTGCTTGATGCAAAGAATCTTAAAAAGAATCCATGAAATATCTGGAGAATAAATCATTGAACAGTATCTCTCTCTAACCTGGCCTGTCTGTGTATGTATTTGTCAATTGAGTCTAAAAAGTAAATCTGACTTATCTATAAAATCATGTTCTATATGGCTTCTATTAATATTCTATGTTTTCAACACCAAGCAATATTTGCATTGTATATCTAGTTCAGTCATGTAACATGTTTGCATTGCAAGATCAAAGTGACCCAGTCTCATATTTGTTTTCAAAAAGCCAGAGCAAATAAAAGAGTTTAAATGTTTAAAAGATCTGAGAGATGTAGTTATTTAAAACCATTTCCTTATCTATATTTTCATTTGAACATTTGTTTAAAAATCCTTTGATCATTTCAATACAAACTTTGTATTTTGAGAAGCCTTTTAAAATATGGTTTTATGACTTAGTTGTGTGCATATATAAGAGAGGTCATCAGTAAGAGCTCATTATTTCCAAAACTATAACAATAACATGGCAAATTACAAGAGCATCATGTTGTGTAATTGTAACACAAATTTTGTTATACCTTACAGAAGTAGTAGCAGCTACAGTGAACAGTTACCAGTGGCCAAAATAGCAGAATTGAAGAAATTGAAAACTGGCAATATTGACCGACAAGTATTAGGAGCTGAAATGTCATCAACAGGGGTAGGTAGTTTATTGATAAGTCACTTTCGTGTTCTCACCAAATCAATTGGTAAATACCAGCTCTGCTCAAGAAGGAATTTTCAAGATGACCATTAATAATCAAAATATGTTTTGTTAGGTGGGATTTGCTACTTCGTGGAGTTGCTGTTTTTCTAGTTTTTTTTATTTCTTCGGGGGAGGGGACTGTTAGGCAACATTATGTTACATAAAAAGCCTAGCATCGATTATTGTGTCAAGAATATATTCTAAAAATGTTTTTTAAAATACAACTTATCAGTTTTATGTCAACTAAGAAGTGGTGGCATATTGTTAAAACCATGGTTGAATGTCGAAATTGACTGTCATTTTTCATCATCTGTAACAATTGTTCCAGGAGATAACATTTTGGTAACATTAATGCCTTGGTACGATTTCCCTTGATTATTTTTATACAAACTGATATGCCATCTTCCAAAATCCACCCATGCAGACATCCTAGCCCATTATGTACTGTTATTGTTTACTTCCAGTTACCCAATGCAAAGATGGCAGAACATTTAGCCCAAAACCTGCAGTCCAACGTCCATGAAATAGCTTCACAAAATGGTAGTGAAATGACTGAAAATAAAGTGCAAGAATTTGAAATTGAAGTAGAAAGACTAAACAGTAGAATAGACCATTTAAAATCACAAAATGACTACTTAGGAATTACACTGGAGGAGAGTAAAAGCCACAGTAATAGACTAACTGAACTCATAGGTAAATATGAGTCTAATAATACAGCCCTGCAGCTGGCTATGAATTATTCCGACCATGCAATAGAGACTTATGAGGTGCTTATAGCGCTGCTGGAGAGTGATAAAGGATTGTTATTGGCTAATTGTAGGGCAGCAGGGATTGGAAATCTTCCATGTAAGTACATGATATGTTGTAAGGGGGTCTTGTGGTTCAAATCCCACTGAGATAAATGTTTTTGACAACTGTTATTATTATATTATTAGCCAATATTTATGTTGAGGTTTGAATTACTTTTTTTGTTTATTTTTGTACATATTGACTAAGTGTCAAGAAAGTGGAAATCTCCATTGTAGAGCGCATATTTGAAGAACGTTTTATACAACCACTGATTAAAATCACCTCACAAATAACGAAGCAAAGGCTACCATTACATGTTTTATACAAACTACAATGTGCAACTAACTTCCAGCAGGTGACAGCTCCCACAACTCTGAACCCACAGATGTACAGTCCATCTTGCATAGGGCCCACAGCTTTAAGAAAATGTCAGAAAATGCAGCCAGACAGGTGCTACAGAAACTGGATAGGAGTTGCGGTGTGCACAATCCAGGCTTAGTGGCCCAGCCCTGGGATGATCTCTCAACCACAAGCAGGACTGCCAGGTAGGTACCTAATCAATATTTGTAAAATATAGAGTTATCATAAAGTCCCACCTAGCCTGGGTTAAAACTACATATTGCTCCACCCGAGGTTCATTTCATCGTCAATATTATATGATATCATAGCAGATATCTTACTAACAGAAATATGGATATTTTTCAAAGTCTGATTTTAAGAATCTTGAGTGATTTCTTTTGTAACAGTACATTCCAAATTTTGTCGTACAAGTCGTTGATTTTTAATTTTCTCTTTTATCAGCACGGCTAGTTCAACAGGAAGTAGCGCAGACATGGAAAGTAGTTTTAGTAAAATGGATGAACAGCGGTTACGTGATTATGTCCAGCAATTGAAAAATGATCGGTCTGCTGTTAAACTAACTGTCCTAGAATTGGAGAGTGTCCATCTCGACCCCTTGCAGAGTCCTGTAGGACCCACTAATCATGACACACAAAGATTGGACCTGGAGAATGCTGTACTCATGCAGGAACTAATGGCAATGAAGGTACATAGAAAGAGAGAAAGCAAAATTCTTGAGACATAATTTTCCTCTATGTATGACAATTCCTGTCTATAGAACTTGAGATGAATTAACAGAGAAATTTCTATAAGGTACAAGTGAAGTGTTGAGTGTGTACATGTTTGTTAAGCCTTATAAGTTTCACCCTTTTTCATGCTATTTCCTTTTTTCCTCGCAGGAAGAGAAGGCTGAATACAAGGCCCAGAACTATCTCCTGGACAAAGAGAATCGGTCCCTACAGTTGAGGCTGAATGGCAAGGAATCCCAGGAGCAAGCTTACATTGTACAGATAGAGCATCTTAAATCTGAGGTTGAGGAACAGAGTGATACTGGTTATAAAAAGGTATTATTAATATTACTGAAACAGATAACATTCCATAAAAATTGCAAATTCAATGATAAATGTTTTTGATATTCCAAAATGGCATTTTGCAAATGTTAGATCATTTGATAAAATTACTCAATTTTTGGTAAAGTAAAGTTTTGTTTTAAAAACATCACCATATACTGTATTTACTTTTAGGATGATATAGACTTTTCAACACCATCAATAACCTTGGCTGAGTTGCGATCGCAGACCTCATCAGAAATCGCACTTGACTTACAAGAGTCATTGAAAAGGGAGAAGAAACTTAAGTCAAGAGTACATGAGTTGGTGTCAACTCTCGAGAAACTGTCCAAAAATTCTGAAATACGACACCAGCAAAGTGCAGAGTTTGTCAGTGACCTTAAACGTGCCAATAGGTAATTTGTTTTTTCTTTACAAATCAGTTCTACAAAAAATCAATTCAAATAAATATGTTAAGAAATATCAGTGCTGTCATGCTTATTTCTGAATTTATTTAAATGTAGCTTTCTGCTTAATACACTTGTCTTACTTAACTTAATAATACATGTCTATTATGCCAATTTATATAACACATTACAAGTTTTTTTTATCCAACCATGTTTCCATATCTATAACATTGTTGGAAATTAGTATACATCATGCAAATCCTCTCTATTAAGATACCCTTGATTTCTAATAAAAATGATGGCCATTGGAAATTCTATAATGTTCTTTCAGTGCACTGGTAACTGCCTTTGAGAAGGCAAAGAAGAAGTACCAGAGTCGGGTTAAGAAACTAGAGCAGCAAATGAAACATACAGCAGATAAATATGAAACACAGGTATACATGGAGAGTTATTTACTTTAATACTGTTGTTATATGTAGCATACTATGATTCTAGAAAAAAACAGAAGTAGCCTAAAACTAAATTATTCTAATAGGTTTAATCTAGCTTGTGTATGAAGTTATATGGGATAACATACCTTGCCTAGGGACACAATACTACACCCATACATACAAAGTACATATACATGTACCTTGACGTTTTCCCCCAGCCATCAGTTTTAATCCTTCATCCAAAAATTGTGCGTTTCAGATGCGGTTGTTGAAACAGCGAATCATGGCTCTGGAAGGTGATGGCTGTCGACCCCTGGCCAATGAGACATCATTATGACACTAGGAACCCTTGAAATGCGGTTGGTGATTCATAATTCTATGACACTACTGTAGGTGCTCTGGAAGGGTTTTGTCCTCTCGTAAGACACTTGCTGTCATGGGCTGTCAAGATGCTTGGAGCCATGCAAAGTCTGAACATTGGTAAGGATATCACTCAAATAGCCAAGAGGAATGCTATTAAACAATTGACTAAAATTACAGAATTAGTGTGCATTGAATAGGATCATACTGCATATTCATTTTGTGTAGAAGTTATGATACATGGGCAATATACATGGTCTACACAGTCTATTTCATAGCCCTGAGAACTTGAGGTAATCCTTCCATTCATTACCATGGGCCAAAAACCTTATAGAACACTTTTTGGGCCCCCAAAAATCTCATATGTTACAAATGAAACCCCACATTTATTTGTGAATGTGCCGTTTTGAAAAAAATAAGTATTTTGCAACAGTGTTTTGATACTCAAATACAAACAGGGTTGTTGCTATGTTGTATTTAGTTGTAATACAATATGGTTGTTTGCTTCTTATTGTATGTTATGAATCAGAAAGGTATCAACTAGGATCAAGTCCATACCATTTAAGCTATTTAACGTATAATAATCATGTGATACAATAATTAATGCATTTCAATGTTTTAGTAATTTCCTGTAAATGTTTATTTGTTATTTAGAATTAATCAAACAATAAAATGTGAATTTTGTTTTAAAAACTCATTGTTAATAGTGTATATAATTGTAAATATATTTTCTAATGTCAGTGGATATTGTACATATTGTAAAAACTTGTCTACATATCTTGTACAAATTCAATTAACTTAAAGAAACTAAAATGTACTGTATTATCATGATAATGTCTGAAATATAACACCAAATAAGTCTGAATTTGTTTTTAAGGACAAGAAAGTACCATGAGACATTTTTGTCATTTGTTTTGAATTGGATTTTTTTGATACAGGTACATGTATCTGAATGCAGATTTGCATTTTAATATTAAAATGAGTAACAATCGTGGAAATATCATGGTCACTTTACATTATAATTTTGTGTTCGAGCAATTAATCTTACAAATTGATAATTTTAGTATAAACATATTTATCTGTAGTTCATGTTATACCAAACTGTATTGTTAAGTAAATAAAAACTTGAAATTTGATTTTATCGTCATACAATCTTATACTGTACAATGCCATACTGTACTGTACCATACTGTACTGTACCTTATTGCTCTATAGTGTTCTCTACCATACTATACTGCAAGTGGGCAAATGTATTAGGCTAGTGGATTTTGAGCTTCAATGTCTTATATTCTTTTTTGAGAACATATATGATTGTGATTAATAAAATGTATGGCCTAATGTTCACTGGATTCAAAACAATATATGCACACTTAGCAAGATAAGTACTATGCAATGAGCAATGTCCCATGTAAAGTTTGAAAACATTGAAATGTTGTGCTAAAACTTTTTGTTAAGCCTAAAAATATTTGGAATTGTTACAACTAGAATGCAGCTCAACAGATCATGAATATTTGTAAGGTTTTATTTATGAAAATGTTGAACATAAAAGTAATAATATGTAACAAAGGTGTCCCAAGGTATTTGGAACTTTTAAGATCCATATCAAGAAAGTGCAATTGTATTGCAAAATAAATGTAATATTAAAATGACCAACTTGTAATTGTTATGTAATTGTAATTGTTATTGTGATATTGGCATTGCTTTAACCATATTTTGGGAGTACAATCATAATGCATTGTTATCCCAATGAACGAAGTTCGTTAGGGATATAGTGAAGCCCTCCGTCCGTCCGTCTGTCCGTCTGTCTGAATCCATGCAGGGAAGGGGAGTGTTTCCATGGACTAGAACGTTAAACCCACCTATGCCCAGTCACAAGCCTGAGGAACCTGCTTTTATATCTAATGTGGATTTTTATCTTACCAATCATGACTTAAATATTAATATGGGTATTTCCTATAATTAATATATACTGGATTTTAACTTACCAAATATGACTTCAATATTAATATGGGTTTAAACCTATAATGTATTAAATACTGGATATGACAAGTAAATAAAATCAATTATAATCTACCTATATGATGTAGATATCCAAATGTTGGTCTGAATTTATCTTTGTGGAAAGATTGTATGCTTCAGTTGCTCTTTAACAAAACATGTGGGACAGTGAATCTATATATTACAAGATGTCCGTCAGTCCGTCAGTCAGTCAGTCAGTCAGTCCGTCTGTCTGTCCGGAAGATAACTCAAATACTAGTTGACAGATTTTCTTCATATTGAGTGGAAAGATGTATATTGGTGAATAGTTTTACGCAAAAAAACAAGATGGCCGCCGCTTTAAAAATGACGGGACTTTTTCGCAAAAGTCATAAATTTTTCATTCTAAACCAAAGTAATTAATATTATTATTTGAAATCTTGGTAGTGTATTCACAACATTTATCTATTTCACATATATTCTGTGTTTTTCATCCTGACCCCCAGGGGCCATGTATGGGGGGACAGGAAAACAGAAATTTTCGCTAATTTTTAGATCTTTCTGAAGTATAGCTTCATTATACTCAAATGAAAGGCAATTAAGAGTAGATTGCAAATATTGTATCTTTTTTCTGATTCAAGCCTCGTAAAATTCAAAATGGCCGTCTAATGTACGATTTCGCAATAGTTTTTCGATCCCTTCAAAGTATGGCTATATTATACTCAAATTGAAGGAATTTTGGAGTAGATCACAATTATGGTATTATTTTTCAGATTTGTACCTCAGAAAATTCAAAATGGCTGCTTTGCAGGAATTCGCAATTCTAAAATCTAATTTTTTCATTTTCAACCAAAGTAATGAGTATAATTGGAATTTGGTAATTGATATTTTGTTCGTTGGGATTTGCTACTCCGCGGAGTTGCCGTTATCTAGTTTACACATTGGGCAACATTTAAAACTCAAAATCCTTTTCAGCAGAACCTAAATTTCTATTTAAGGCAGTAATATAACATATCAATTCTTATTTAAGAATGGAAATTGAAAACTTCTGAAAATTTGAAAATTGAAAATTTTCCAGGCCATATTATATGTAGTTCCAAATGCTGTCCTGGATGCACTCTTTCAGCTTGAGATATTTTATGCTATCTTGTGCTTGTCTTGTTTATATTCAATGTTCATGTGCTTCTCTGATGAAGCTTCTGAGTAGGTGAGTCTAGTGTCAGTTATAAGAATGGCATCTTTGCTTATGAAATAGCTTGGACTGAATCAGTTGAATTCTATCTCTGCTGTGGCTTTGTAGAAGTATTTATACTGACCCTGGAAAATAGAACATAAATTGTCACAATTGCAATTTGACGCCCTTCCAAATGAACAAACATTTGATTGATATATACATTTATGTTTAAACATATGTGTTTATGCGTATTAAACATGTAAGGAATACTGTGTACTATATTTACATAATATGTGTTTGGTTGGTGAGAATCTGGGTGAACTTGTGTTTTGGATATAGTTAATGTATGTATTCTCTCAGCTAAATACTATTCTAGTAAGGCAGCAACAAAACTTGTCTTATTAAAAATCGGAGAATTGCTAGGCTAACTGAAGAAGTATAATTGTGTACATACCCAATATAAATGTAGTTGGGGTATACTTTGCTTCATGATCATGTTGGCGATGTATATACTGGTTTGGTCATGGTGCTTAAGTCTCTGGTATATTGACAGCATCCCTACCACCAGTGCAGCCCTGTCTAACCCCAAAATAGTGTTGATCATTACAGGATATGGACTATTCCGAGTCTTGTTATCAACAATCTGGATAAGATTTAAAATTGTTTGTATTGGTGGGCATTTATTGTTGGCTGACCAGTTGTCTGTTTTGATCAACAAGATTTGTTTCATTGTTGGGTTCTCCATTGTTCTGATTTTCATATTCCATGTTTTGATATTCCAATTTGATAGCTTGGTGTTTCTGATGTATTTCACTGTATATATCCCATGGTTTAATGTCTTTTTATTCACTCCTTCAAGCTCAGCCACCTCATCTTCAAATGTGTCATCTAAGAGAATGATACATTTTGTTTCAGCTTCATAGCTCAGTTCAATGATGTTCTCCATGAAGTCCTTCTGTGTTATAGCAAATTGTTTGTAGTTACAATGGCTGTTCATGTATTCAAGGTCATTGACAGGGTTGTCAACATGTGGAGTCCCATACATAGAATCAACATGTGGTGTCCCATATATGAAATCATACTGTTTTCTCATGTGAGATATACCTGTTTCTGGATGATTGGCAGTTATGTTCTTAATACTGGCTTTCATTTTTAAACGTGGCAGGTGAGTATAACCCATTCTGAAGATCTCTATAATGGCTTGGTATATAAAAACATATTGCTTGTTTGTCTTAACATAATATTGATTGAATGTTCTAAGTTTTTGTACACATTTTGGTACATTTATTTTGCCAGTCTTTTGCCCTTGTTCACGGAGTAAGACTAGTGCCCAAAACATGCCTGTTCTTCCTACTCCATCCAATGACTCAACAACTATAGGTGCATCTGATATTGCCCCTCTCATTACTAACGATATGAATTCTATAAATGCAAATGTTTCTTCTGGAATCCCTCCCTTTGTCCATGTATTGTACTGCCACTGTGTCAATTGCCTTGTTTCTTGAGATCTCTCACAATAGACCACAAATGTTCTTTTTGTGAAATCAGCAAATTGATTTTCAGATGTCAGGTTTACCCTGAAAGTATTGTATGAAACTGTTTCCTTGAAATCTTCAAATGGGTTATCATCAAGAGATACTAATGTTTCCACCTCTTGTTCATATAGCATTGTCCAGAACAGTTCCATGGTATTTGGCATTGCTATTACAGTTAATATCCCCTCGCAATTGGATCGTTTTATCTCAACATGTGTTGCATTAATATAATCATAGTGGGGATCATTGGTATCACCAACTTTTACCCTATGGCCATCAAAGGGAAGAAATCTACTCCCAAATGGATTCTTATCTATATTTTCTGGTATTGAAGCAACAATACTTGTATCACTAATATTTTGAATGGTATCTATCTTCAGCTGTGCAAATTCTGCGGTTAATTGTTTCATATGGTCATTTTCCTTCTCGGTTTCTAAATCTGCAATATTGATACCATTTGAAAGTGATTTCTTTTTTTGTAATCGTTGCCGACTTTTATGAGCCTCATTGTGAATATAGAGATTTTCTGATGGATCATTCACAATGGTTTTATGTTTTAGGATTCCTTCCATCTTCTGTCTCACTTTATCAGTGGTAAGTGTTAATTCAGCAACAGATTTCAATGTGTATCTTGATTCAAGCATTGAATCCGCAATAAGTGAGTTATTCTTGTTGTCAGATTCAGATTTTTTGAACTTATATTTCCTCAGCATCACAACAACAATGATAGTGATAATGATGAGGATGATAACACCTGTAGAAGCACTGACAGCAATGATCACCACTGTGTTTGAGTCATCATCTTCATGGACAACATATGGCTTCTCATTACTCTCACTCGTGGTTACTTCAACTGGGTCGCAAAATGTGATCTTTTCACTATTATCCAGTCTGCTGATAACCCCAAAGTGAACATTATATGGAGTGTCTGGTTGCAGTGGAGCATTGAAGTAGCCATTATAGAGAGCAAGGTCACCAATGATAAACTTAGCAGGCAGTTGAAGCTGTATAAAAAGGATTTCAGCAGTGATGTAGTGATTCAGGTCTAGTCGTTCAGCCTCTGTGTAGTTCACCAGTGTGTCCTCACTGTTTGTACTTACAAAATTGGAGTTTTTCCCATCTGGCTCCATTTTCTCTATAACAACTAAGAATCCACTCAACGGACCTGTTGTCATAGACCCAACTGGCTCCAAAGACATTGTAAAGTTAGTTTCAAATATCTCATCAGATAGTATACGAGGGATGGGTGGGGCTGGAGGTTTCTCTATATCTGTCCATACTTCAATTGATTTTGCATTACCAGAGCCATAGCGATTCCCTGCAGTGACACTGATCTCATAGAGGGCAGCATGGTAGAGGTTGTCTATTGTGTGACTCGTCTTACTACCATTTGTTAATGTTGTGTTTGGATCTTGACTTATGGGGAATGTTGACTGTTTCAGAGAACACGTTATCTGGAACACAGATATTGAATGATGCAATTCATTTTGAGATGAATGTCATTCCTTATTTTTGACTTCCCATACAAATAAAAAAAAATCAAAATCAAGACCTAACATTAAAAGTATTGAAGACAAACAACCCAAAAAAGGTATCACCAGAGTATTGAATTAATAGTTAACTGTGTCATAAACAATACATGGGTTGATTAGTAGATTTCAATTCAATGTAGAATTTTAATTCCAAAATATTCAAATATCTCTCAAGTATCCATTTACCCTGTAGAACAAAACATCATCTGTTGTGATACTCCAAGCTACTGTGATGGTGGAGACAGTCCTTGCCTCTCTCTGCAGGTTAAACACAGATGGTAATTCTCCCTTGGATAGGACCTCTGCTTCAGTCGTTGATGCTTTTGTTGGTTGAGTAGTGGAAATTTGTGATAGGACTGGCTGTGACAATATGGCTGAAATAAAACACAAGGACCCACCAATAGATACAAACAATCAAAATAGATCATAAACAAGGCATGGAGTAATTAGCAGATTTCAGATCAATGTAGAATATTAATTTCAAAATATCCATATATCCCTCAATCATCTATCAACCTTTGTGAAACAAGACATCATCTGTTGTTATGCTTCAAGAGACATGATAAGTACTAGATATAGCAAATAAGCTCAACAGATGTGTTTGTATTGGTAAATTGGTAAAACTTGTTTTTATCTAAACATCATGGTCATATCATTGTCCACCTCATAACATATAACTTACCTAAAATAATTATTGTCGGCAGCATATATCTCAAAATTACATCCATTTTGCCTACAGGAAATAACTCAAGTTGTAGCCATCAATATCATGTTGTTCTGTCTGAATTCTCTGCTTTCCATTCATCTTATTGCTATGTTTGTTGTACATATGTGTTGAAAGTTGAGTCAACTCTTCCTATAATGCCATGGAGTATGCTTGTCAATATTTTTCTAATCTGTATTGTGTTATTTAACAATGCCTTTTGGACTAGATTTCTGCAATATTGCGGCATCAGGTATAACAATACAAATAATTCTGATTAAACCAGTTTATTTTGACAAAGATTTAGGCCAAAATATCCGTTTATTTCATTCAGGGGAAAGCAAGATAATCTTACTTTAATAGTACATTGAATGAATTATTCTGAATGTAACTCAATAGATGGTTTTCCCAATCAAAGAGAAATTAATTTAAGCTGTATGAAAGTACTATTGAGAAATTATTATATTGGAAAATGATTCAGAATGTTTATTTGACCGCAACACCTTCAATTGATAATGTATTCACATCAAACATGATTACATATTCTCCATAGTTTAGGTATGTGAGAGACCAACGCGTCACTATTAGCAATTGCCTCCAACCAATGATATATCCATATTTCTTATTGAGGGGTCCATGCTATACTCCCTTAATCCAATAAGAATCAGGTTTGACAACCCTCGATCTAACCCCAAGTGAAAGGTTACAAAAGCAAATCTATTAATCTTGTTATGATCAAGGAAGTTATTAAAGAATCAGCATTTGAAAGTCTAGAGATTAAATTTAAATGTACAACTGACGCCCTCGTGCAGCATAGCTTTGTTGATAGTAGGCTTGGTGGACAGATCACCATCGGGATCACACTGAAGGAGATCATCTAACTGTTGAAGCAGTGAAGGACCATTGTGCAAGAAGCAATAATGGTAGCAATGAGACTGGCCTTACTGGGCCTATGTGTAGGCATACTAGTGATGCCAATATATTCTCAAACTAGTAAGTTTTTACATAATATAGGTTCATATGTAGGCTTGAGGAAAATGCTATAATGATGTAAGGCACACTTGTATTTTCTCATTAAGGTAAATGTACATAGAGGTGATATTCTAAATCATAATACGGCTTGCTTATTTTTAGCCTGAATTGAATATGTTTACACATTGTTTTAACAGAATAATTATGTTTCAGCTTGCACTTCTAAACATGACTTAGTGTTTGTGATGGATGCTTCTGGTAGTTTAGGACTTGACAATTTTGGCACAATTCGCTTCTTTGTTCGTAGCGTCATCCAAGAACTTGATATTGGCTCAGATGCGACTCAGGTTGCTCTGGTGACCTTTGGTGACACTGGCGTTGTGGAGTTCTATCTAAACACTTATGATAACAAGGAGGATGTTTCCTCAGCGGTGGACAGACTAGAGTACTCTGGTGGGTCGACTGACACCCTCGGGGCCCTCAGTACAGTGCGTGCCCAGGTATTGACCAGTAACCGTGGTGATAGGGCTGATGTTCAAGATACCATTGTGATGATCACTGATGGGGCTTCGAAGACTGGAGATCCAACTGAAATTGCTAATTTGCTGCGATCAGAGCAAGATGCCATTGTATACACTATTGGTATGTATCACCAGAATACATTCAAGACCAAATAATTAAAGAAAACCTTGTACAAGTGTTATTTCTCAACCCTTGATCTGACAAAATCAACTCTAATTATCTCCTTTAAATTGCTTTGTATATAAAAGTTTTATATAAATGTATTTCATTCTTATTTCAAGGTATTGGAACTAGTGAGCTGAACCCAGAGGAGTTGGTTGCTATAGCTAATGCAGGCTCGCCTAGTGGAGGGGGCTCTCTAGACTCATACAGTATCATTGTGGATGATTTTTCCAAACTTAATCCTCTTGCAACTGATGTCTCTTCACAGATTTGTCTTTCTCAACCACGTATGTATAGCTTTCATTACTGGTCTTGCCTAAGCAAACATATGGTGGGTGTTAAGGGGTTAAAAGAAAATTAGTCATGACATATCTTTTTGTTGGTTTTAAGATTAATCTCAAGTTGCATGGCCTTTTGTAAAGGGGTTGAAGTAAAACAGTAAGATCAAGAAAACTCAAACAATTTTTGTCAGAATGAGGGATCTGATAACTTTTTTGGTTTAGGTGGGTGCAATAACTAATTTAAAATGACATTTGAGAGAACAAATAAGTGATATAAGTTATGATTAAATTAACATAAATGGTATATATCTTAAGTATATTTCTTAGTACAAATGACTTATTCAAAAAATCTTGCTTAGATAATGGTTTGAAATGTGTCTTGCTCAAATGGATACTTAAGATAATCTACTTAAGACTTTAACTTCTTGAGAGTTTGATTTGCAATGTTAGTAATAATATGAGATTGAGTAAACTCACTATCCTTGAGAAGGACTTTTCCAATTCATTCTTTCTTTCAGCTTGTGAAACATTAACAGACATTGTGTTCATGATTGATGGTTCTGGCAGTATGGGTGCTGAAAACTTCACACGTGTACTTGACTTCGTCTCTAGCATTGTCAATGGTTTCAACATTGGCAACGAAGCTACCATGGTTGGTGCTTTGACCTTCAGCAGTGGTGCAGAGGTCAACTTCCAACTGATTCAGCATTCAACTAAATCTGCACTCCTGACCGCTATAGCAGCTATTGAGTACCCTGGGGCATCAACAGACACTATAGCTGCCTTCGAAGCAGTGCGTGGTATGTTCACAGCTGAAAATGGGGATCGTTCAGGTGTGCCAAACTTTGCAGTGATTATTACAGATGGAGCCTCTAAGACAGGGGACCCCACAGAAGAAGCTACAGCAACAAAGGATGATGACATCACTGTAATGGCCATTGGTGAGCATGCAAAATAATGCCAAATAAAGTAATAAACCCTTAAGAAAGTAAAAATGAAAACATCTGAAAATTTAGCAATTAGTTCCCCATAGAGCAAGCCAGAAGATTTGAAAAGCTTTCTAAGTCAATTGTGAGTTTCATGCATAACTGAATACATGGCATATGATTTCTCTTGTGTAAAAGGCAACAAGATTGTCAATGTGAATTTTAAAGCAGGCCTGCCCCCCTCCTTTTTGGGTCAGGTCTTTTAGGGGCCAGATAGTGGGTCTTTTTGGGCATAATTAGGCCTTTTAAGGCTTTTTTTTAAATTGTAGGCCAAATTATCATGAAAATTTGGGTTTTAGGGGCCCAATTTTTTTTTCATAACTCAAATGTGGTCACACCCCCCCCCCCCTTTTTTGGTTCCTGGATCCGCCCCTGCTGATCATAGTCTTCCAATTGTAGGTATTAGAACAGAGGAACTGAATGAAGAGGAGCTAACAACTATGGCCAGTAATCCCAAGTCAAAGTATGCACTATTAGCAGAAAATTTTGCAGATTTGACAGTTATTGGGCCAACTGTGAAAAATGAGTTATGCAACAGTGGAGGTTTGTACTACACTTAATAAGGCAATGTGTAATGTTAAAATGGGTTCATTTAAATACTCGATCATAAAGACTCTAATTGCCTAATTTCTGATCCTAAAGTTCTGTACATGAAAATTGAAAGACATTCAGGATAACCTGTAACTTTTTGTATCATAGAAATTATTTTCTGTGAATATTAGCGGTTGAGAAATTCTTCACACACTAAATCATTGCTTCCATTCAAGTCGGAATCAATTCAGTTCTTTGCCACTGTTAAATGTTTGATTTCATTATTTTCAAATAATGAATGTTATGAATATGTCAGGCTGTGAGGCATCCTATCGAATCACCCCCTATGATAGTAAGATCCCTGGGGTGGGCAGACCTGAAGTGAGAGTGAATGGACAATGGAAGGCTATATGTGATGACCAGTGGGATGACCTTGATGCTAAAGTCATATGTTCATGTCTCTACCCAGACTCTGAGTAAGTGTAACAATTTATATGGTTTATGTGTTAGTATTTTTACTTTTTTCAAAAACATGTTTGATTTCTCCAATCAGACCAATCTGAAAACCATCAAAACATTGAACAATGTTTAGAAATATAAAGTGCATAGCTTGACAAAATCTAGGTCAGTTTGAGCTAAATAAAACTAAAAATGTCCATTATTTAATTTCAATATTTCAGTCCAGTGAATTACAAAGCTCTCTGGAGGCGTGACACCACCCTTGATGTGTTGGCTATAGGTATAGATGACCTTGTGTGTGAGGGAGATGAGGAAGATATATTTAGCTGTAAATACACAGGGGAGGCAGACCAGAACTGTGACGCTTCCACAGAGGCTGCTGGGATTGCATGCATTGATATAGCTCCTTATGTGCCTGTTGGTAAGATATTTAGTATAGTCTTTACTGCAGCTGGAAATCTCAGAAAGTCTCTAAAAGGGATATTTTGGTTCACTTTGAATAATGTAATTTTTATGTCACCGCCACAAATGATGGCACTGTCTTCAACTTTTCTGTGGCAGTAATCAGTGGTTTGTGCTCGGATTTTGGTATTCAGTGTCTGTAATAAATGGCAGGTGGTGTTTTTTGCATGTTAATGCCTCGTTTGAACTTCTAAATAAATTCTTTAGTGTTGCAATGTTATATATTAGCTTAATAAAACTTTAAAATGTGAATTGTTAGTTCAGAAATCATTTTCATTTTTATCTCAATAAATATTGAAACAGTTGTTATAACAGATTGTTGGGATGGCTTGCAGGGGTTTGGATTTGCCTGTCTTTTCATTAATATATTTAAGATTCTAAATATTATATATTATAATTATTTATCTAAATTTATCAAACAAATGTTACCTTGAATGTTTGTGGCTTACTCTGCTGACCAATGATTTCCAGTGCCCATACCTCAATTAGCATGCAACACCTCTGCAATGGAGACCTGCTTTAACAAGTCAGAGATAATAGCCAGTAAGCTGGACTTACAGCCAGCATGTTCAGATATTACAAGGCAGGACAAGGGGGATTTCCTCTGCTATGATATACCTCATGGTCAGTGCACTCCAGCAGAACTAACTGTAAGTACCTTCCTAGGATAAAAATCCTAATGATTTTGGTCCCTCATTTATATGGACATTGGACATATTGTGTTGCTGTAAATATTAAAAGGGGTGAACAATTATTTCTTGGTAAGGAGTCTAACCTGTATTCTAAAATCAATGTCCAATGTCACCAGATCGTTTAAGGCATTAGAGGAAAATTAAATTAAACTCAAACCTCCATAAGCTGTTTCAACTAATGATTATATCTATTTCATCTGCTTACAGACTGACAGCAGTGGTAAGAAGTACTGTTACCGCTATGAACAAAAATCACGGGAATCAACTGGTAGTCCTGTATTTGATGAAAACTGGGATGTGACGACATGTTGTAATGTCGCTAAGAATGGCTCAGTAGGATTTGGATACCAGTTCTTTGTCCCAACAGGAAATTACTCATCCAGCGGTAATACAGATTTCGATATGAAATGTTATCTGAATCCCAATTTTGATGGGGACGCCATAGAGTACCCTGTTAAGGTGAGCAGATTTCCATTCTGCTTTATTTGCAATATAGCAAAGGCAGTTAACCCTTATAAAAAGATCAATGGTATTCAATGTGTTTTGTCATGTTAGCATACAACATTGAACCGTGGTAGTACTCCCATTGATACAACCACTGTTACAATGTATGCTAATAAAAGAATTGTGGTTGAAATTGGTTGTTAACCATTGTTTCAACAACACTGACAATACAATGTATCCCTACTGTGAATCTACCATAGATCTACCATGGAAACTGCCATTGTAATAACAACTAAGCCATTGTTGCTTCAATCAACTGTTCTACAATGGTTCAACTACCATTTTAATGTGATTTAAAATGTTTAATGTTGAAGATTTTTATTCTGGCATTCCAAAAGATGGCATTGCTAGTTTCTCCACATTTACATCATAGTTTAGTGAAGAATATTGAGCCTATTTTGATGATAGTGAGACAAATAAATTAGATTATTTAGGGCTGTTATTGTAGCCATATATGAATAAAATCAATTTAAATAAAATGATCTTGAAACCCTGATCCTCTCCTTTATGACTAAACCAAAACACTTAAATCTGTAAATTGTAGCATTCAGCATGAGAAGTTCATTAGAACAATGACAAAAACTAACCCTTATAAGTATTTGATTTACAGTTAAATGATTATTCAGCTTTTTAATACTTTCACATACACATCATTCTGATGGTGGTGGTGGTTTGGATATCTTCACTGTTCAAATCCATATTTTTGAATAGAGATATTATTGAAATTCAGAATTGAGAATTTTTATGTTTTCACATAATACTACATTATGTGTATGGTATATCTTCACTATTTCCGCCATTTCATAGATACATGCATGGGTCTGTTGAAAGCCCATGATACGTGTAAACATAATTGTTTGAATGTAATTCTTGCTGTTCATATTGTTGATTACATTTACAATTGTTTGCATCAGAGGAGGGATACGTATTCTAGATTATATATAGTTATGATTAGAATTTAAAATTGAGAATTTCAATATTTTCGAATATCGTACATCATGCCTTTGGTAGATCTACCATTGTTTCTACAGTTGCAGAAACCGTGGTTGTTTGAATATAATTCTCATTGTTCAATTTCATATTCTAGATATCAGTTATGATTATAATTATCCTATGGAACCAAGTTCTGAGGGATATAGGGAACGCCTCTGTCTGTCCGTCTGTCCATACGTACATCCGTACGTCCATAACAGTTATGATTGTTCAATTTCATATTCTAGAATCTAGATATCAGTTATGATTGTAATTTAAAATTGAGAATTTTTATATTTTCAGAAGTACTACATCATGCCTATAGTAGATCTACCATTGTTTCTACTGTAGCAGAAACAATGGTAGTTTGAATATAATTCTCATGTTCAATTTCATATTCTAGATATCAGTAAAATGATTATAATTTAAAATTGAGAATTTTTATATTTTCAGATGTACTACATCATGCCTACAGTAGATCTACCATTGTTTCTACTGTAGCAGAAACAGTGGTAGTTTGAATATAATTCTCATTGTTCAATTTCATATTCTGATATCAGTTATGATGATAATTTAAAATTGAGAATTTTTATATTTTCAGATGTACTACATCATGCCTACAGTAGATCTACCATTGTTTCTACTGTAGCAGAAACAGTGGTAGTTTGAATATAATTCTCATGTTCAATTTCATATTCTAGATATCAGTTAATGATGCTAATCTAAAATTGAGAATATTTATATTTTCAGATGTACTACATCATGCCCACAGTAGATCTACCATTGTTTCTACTGTGGCAGAAACAGTGGTAGTTTGAATATAATTCTCATTGTTCAATTCATATTCTAGATATCAGTTATGACGCTAATCTAAAATTGAGAATATTTATATTTTCAGATGTACTACATCATGCCTACAGTAGATCTACCATTGTTTCTACTGTAGCAGAAACAGTGGTAGTTTGAATATATAATTATCATTATTCAATTTCATATTCTAGATATCAGTAATATGATTATAATTTAAAATTGAGAATTTTTATATTTTCAGATGTACTAAATCATGCCTACAGTAGATCTACCATTGTTTCTACTGTAGCAGAAACAGTGGTAGTTTGAATATATAATTATCATTATTCAATTTCATATTCTAGATATCAGTAATATGATTATAATTTAAAATTGAGAATTTTTATATTTTCAGATGTACTATATCATGCCTACAGTAGATCTACCATTGTTTCTACTGTAGCAGAAACAGTGGTAGTTTGAATATAATTCTCATTGTTCAATTTCATATTCTAGATATCAGTTATGATGCTAATCTAAAATTGAGAATTTTTATATTTTCAGAAGTACTATATCATGCCTACAGTAGATCTACCATTGTTTCTACTGTGGCAGAAACAGTGGTAGTTTGAATATAATTCTCATTGTTCAATTTCATATTCTAGATATCAGTTAATGATTATAACTAGACATGTAAATTGAACAAGTTCAATTTAAGACTCCAGATTTCAGACTTTTTTAAGCTGAATCATCCAAATACTTGTAAGCTGAGTCATTCAGAATAAGCTGAGTCAGCTAGAATATAGACATTTAGACAACTCTTAAGAATGTTATCTTCGACTCCATTGGCTTAACATGAGGATATCATCATATCAACTTTTCGAGACTTCAAACCGCTATAACTATCTAATCAGAAGTTGGATCGAAATTTGGTTTAAAGATTCTGATTCCTGAGAAAATTCTACCCTAATTCATAACTCATACGTTAAATTTGGAGAACTTTTTATTTTGACCTACTTTTCAGACACCATATCTCAAAAGTGGGTCAAAATACTTTCTGACGGCAGAAGGCTAACACTATAAGCACACTCTTTGTTACCTGTATACAAAATTTCGAAGCAAATCATTAAAGTGTAATGTCAGAATCGCAAAAATAAGGAAAAACTATGAATTTGACCTAGATTTTGACCTAGGCATTTTGGTGTCCAAATTTTAAAGCTAGATAGCCTTCGAGGTCCCCTTCTTTTATAGGCTTTCAGAATGTTAAGCTGTACTCAGTTTATATCTGGTATTTTACACTTCAAAAAAATCTTTTTTCTCATTGACATAACATGGGGCACCAAATTTAGCGATTTTTGAGCTTTCAAAATGCCATAACTTCCGAACCGAAAGTCGGATTGAAATTTGATTTGCAGATTCGGATTCCTGGGAAAATTCTACCCTTAATTCATAGCTCATATGTTAAATTTGGAGAGCTTTTTATTTCGACCTACTTTTCGGACACCATATCTCAAAAGTGGGTCAAAATACTTTCTGACGGCAAAAGGCTAACACTATTAGCACACTCTTTGCTACCTGTATACAAAATTTTGAAGTAAATTATTAAAGTGAAGTGTCAGAATCGTAAAAATAAGTAAAACTATGAATTTGACCTAGATTTTGACCTAGGCATTTTGGTGTCCAAATTTTGAAGCTATGTAGCTTTTGAGGTCCCCTTCTTTTATAAGCATTCATTATGTTAAGCTGTACTCAGTCTATATCTTGTATTTTACACTTCGAAAGAGTCTTTTTTCCCATTGACTTAACATAGGCACCAAATTTAGCGATTTTTGAGCTTTCAAAACACCATAACTTCCGAACCGGAAGTCCGATCCAAATTTGGTTTGCAGATTCGGATTCCTGAGATCATTCTACACTTATTTCATAACTCACGTGTTGAATTTGGAGAACTTTTTGTTCTGACCTACTTTCCGGACGCCATATCTCTAAATCGGCAAAAGTAATCAAAATTCTGATGTCATACTTTGTGTACTTTATATTTTGATATTTGTTCTCTCTAAATTCTTGAATTTAGAGAGAACAAATATCAAAATATAAAGTACACTTCTTGAATTTAGAGAGAACAAATATCAAAATATAAAGTACACAAATAGTGTACATATAACATATATGTGTTTTATATATGCTGGTTGAGTGGGCCTAGAAGTCATGTTACTGGTTGTGCCAACATGCTTGTTTAGCAGCCCTATGATCAATAGAGTAAACCACAACCCTCAAGTATGATATTGTATATCACAGGTACTCACAGGGCAGGACCTCTACTGTAAGGTGTGTGTGGATACAGAAGATGAAGACATGTTATTGGTTGTGCCAACTTGCTGGTTGAGTGGCCCTGTTGGAGAAGAGGGTCCGATGTACTCATTTATTGAGGATAAGTAAGTACAATCCCCAGGAAGGATCTATGTAAATGAATTGGTGATCAGCTCATCATTGAATGACACATGGTTGACCTGTTAGGGCTACATCCATATCCACACTATAATGTACTCATTCTTTTGTACCTTGAAATTTAAGGCTTAAATGCACTTACATTGATTCATGGGTTTTGTATTATTTTACAATATTTAGCATCAAAGCAATGATAAAAATAACATTGTTTCAGGTGCCCAGTGGTGTCAACTCTTGGGCTGAACTTCTACCCAATCTCCCGCCACTGCTGGGGCTTCAAGTTCACTGCCATGAACTACAATGACAAGGTTGAGATGTACGTGTCTTGTGATACATTCGCCTGTGACTCCAATCTTGATGGTAAGTCATCAACATTTTTAGAACTGAATTTACTACTTTGTCAATATACCATAATTTTATTCATAATTTAAATAACTTCGATACAATCATTGAATGTTACCTACAATTTAGTCAAAACATTTTTTCTAAAATCCTAAGCACTCCATCATCACATTCTTCCTGTTGGTAGTTTTGCAATTTGAGTTTTAATAGATTTGAGATTCTCTCCTACCTGAGATGGCCCATAAGAGTTTTGAAATGGGTGATGCTATTCAAAATGTGGATCATTGTACAGTTAATGTTATGGTAGACATATCTAAAAAATAATAAAATCATCATCTTGAAATTTACATTTTCGCAATTTTGTTTTTGATTTTTTTCTTCGATGTGCAGTACTTCGTAAAATTGATTAGCATTTTCGCAAAAAAACATAGTGTTGATGAATCCAAAATGTTTTTAGGCAAACCCTATTGTGACAGAACTTGTATTGATGGGAGCAACAGGAAGAAACGTGACGTAGGAGATAAGTTCACCCCCAAGAAGCAGGGCCGTGTTGACAGGGGGCCCTTCATAGTTGAAGCAGGTGGTGCTATGCGCAGTGACAATGGTGAATACATTGTGGGACAGAAACTCAGTCCAGAAGAACTCAAAAAGTACATGAAGGATTATCAGAGAGGTACATGTAAGGGTTATCAATCTCAACTAAAAATTCTTTGACTCAACCCTCTTATAGAATTAAAGATGGTCACTTTTATCCTTTTTGCTGAATACTGGTTTTCTAGCAGTCACATTATTTTTGTGCACCACTTAATTTTTCCAGATTACAAAGATCATGCACTTGTGACAAAAGTTTGTGGATTGTCCAAATAAAATGAACATCATGTGTACTTGATATGTGTACAGTCACTGATATGTCAATTATATCATTTCAGGTGTGAATGGTAATGGAAGGCTACAGTCAAGTATATTGGCATCATTCCTGGCACTGAGTTTCATCTTGGCCCTGTAGTCATACCACATTTTTCTATTGTCATAGACAATGTACATAAGTCAGAGGATGACTTGCAAGATTTCAAAGTCTGTCTATATTGAATATGTTAGCATTGACTTATGTTTTCATAGAAAAGAGATGTCCTGAAACAAAGTATTTTAGAAATGAATAAGACAATTCACAACAAAGACTGAACTCAGGTAGAAATCTTGAAAATTAGTTAAAATACCTGAAAGCGTGAGAATCACTGCTCAGTGGTCTTGCTTTGAAGAATATGTTATGGTTTCTGTCATCAGTTCATATGAAGAAATTTTGTACATTTTTGGATATATTTTCAGTATACATCTATTTGGTTTTACTTATTTATTTTGTTTGTATAGAACTGAATTTGAAATGAATGAATATTTTTGGTTGTTTTTTTAATTCGGAGAGTAGATACTGAACCAGGGGACTTGACTATAAAACTTCATAATCTACTAATTATAGAATAAATTAGTTATTAAATACTCGATTTTTGATACAGGGTATATCCCTCAATAAATACAATACTCGGTCCCTAAGGTCCCTTGGGTTGATATATTGTATTTCCCTCAGATATCAAAAACCTCCCATAAAATAACCTCTATATATTAGCCACTAGTCTGCTTTGTCATACTGTGATAATACAATTTACCCAATCATAGCAAAATATTTTCAGCGCTAAATCAGCATTAAATAATTTCAGATAACCTCAGCACTTAATTCTGATGTCAAAGCTGAATCAACTCTAATTTTTCAATGTTGGACCACTGTTGATGTTAATGCTAAATGCTGAACTCTCTGAAAATAATTTTGTTGTGCAGATTGAAGAGAATTTATATTGAGTTTAAAATTGATATGCAGTTGCATGAAGTTTAGTGTTTGTGTTCACAGGAGGGAGTGGTGCCTTCAGTTCACAATACGGAGTGATATCTCACTATTTGCCTCTGATGATGCCAAACATATTATCACATGTCAAAATCATTTGTAAATAAAAATCTTGAATCTGGATTCTTGAATGTAACTTTGTTCAATTTCACCAATCTAGTTATTTTGTTATGTTGACTTTTACTATACATTTGTTTTTAAACCTTGTGCCTCAAGTTTTGCACACTTTTATAATTGATCTCAATTTTAGTGTACAACATAAATATATAATTTATATTATTAATTTTGATAACATGCGGCTATCCAATTTCCAGTGTTTTTATTTTTTATTTAAGTTTTACAGAAAGGAAGCCTATTATCAAGGAGCTTTTTAACTAACCGTGAAACAATACCTTATAATAGATAAGATCCCTGTGTGTACCATATACTATTCTAGTAGTAGATATAATTAATGAATAATAAAAAACAAACATACTATATACTTTACTGTTGTTTTTATTTGATATTATTGTTTAATGTGAATAAACTTCAAACAAACAAAACAACAACACATTTGAGATTGTGCCATTCTATTGCAAATATAAGAAATGCACTATAAGTAAGAACAACTATTGAGCAATGGAAAATATTACATTTTAATGTTCCTATAGTAATACATGACCTTAATATAGACCATGTTCATAGTCACAATCTGGGGTCTAAAAATTTTCTGGTGAGAACCCTGTATTAGCATGATATTATGTGAACTTAATCAGTACTAGTGTGACTTTCTTTGAACAAGAAGAATACTTGTAAACAGATGCAATACTAGATAGTATAACATACTGTAAACAGATGCAACACTAATGTCACTTTCTGAAAATGCAATACATTCAGATGCAATACTAGTGTGACATTCTGTGAACAGAAGCAATACTAGTGTGACATTCTAAAATAGATGCAATACTAGTGTGACATTCTGTGAACAGAAGCAATACTAGTGTGACATTCTAAAATGGATGCAATACTAGTGTGACATTCTGTGAACAGAAGCAATACTAGTGTGACATTCTAAAATAGATGCAATACTAATGTGACATTCTGTGAACAGAAGCAATACTAGTGAGACATTCTGAAAAAAAGATGCAGTACTACTATGACACATTGTGAACAGAAACAACACTCGCTTGACATTGGGTAAACAGATGCAATACTTGGAACATTATTTGAACCTAAACAATACTAGATACAGTATACAATGTAGTAGTGAATAGATGTAACTAGTGGCTAAAGACACACTACACAGTCTCTACTCTCTAGTGTATATATGAACAGATGCAAAGACTGAATTTTAAATTGGGATTGGGAGCAAGTCAACCAACTGCTACTATGTCAGGGACATGATATATCCAATTAAGTATCTGTTGAAGCTTCCTCAGGTGAGGTTCTCTGTTTATCAAGTATCCATCTATCTTTGTAGCTATGTTCTATCAGCAAAACCCCCATGACGTTCTTAGGATCAATTGCTGATGACGAGGACATATGAGTGTCTTGTAATCTCCAATTGGTCTGTTTCAAATATTCGCCTAATCTCAAACGTATATTGCTACCATTCAGCTCAAGTTCTGTGAAATCTGAATCTCTTTTACCATGTAATTTCTCCGTGCAGCTTTCTTCAATCACGGGAATCATTGACATAATAATATCTTTCCTTGCTGAGATTATTGTCTTAACCCTGGCATTAAATGTTGGCATTGTCGCTACTAAACCAGTCCGTACCTCAATGATTTCTAGCATATGACCAGAGAAACCCCAGGCAGCTTTCAGTTTACGTCCTTGTTCTGCTTTGATTGCCTCAATGAGAGGATTGATTTGGTAGAAATCAGCCTCAACAGCGAGACCATCGAGATTGTCAAATTTTTCTGGTAGAGTGAGTTGTGAAGAACGTAAGAAGTCCAGGACATACTTAAATAATTCGCCATTTCTGTCAATAAAATAACAACCTTGATCATCTTTACCAGGTCGCATAGATCCATTAAACATTGCCCCGATCATGGAATCAGGGTATCGAGAGAGGGTAGACATCATTGTTGTGTATGTTACACCACCAACATTCAAGCGGACTAACTCGTCATTCATTCCACTGCTGCCCATTGGTATAATATTCTGAAATGAACAAATAAATATTATTGAACGCAAGTACATACTTTCATGAATAACAGTGGAATATTGTACTTCACGTTGAAGTGCCATTTAATTACAATTCTTGGATAAAACACAGATCCCCAGCAAGGAGTCCTTCTATGGCTGGTAAACATAGGGTTGGTTATGTTTACCAAATAACTAATTTTGGTACACAGTGAGTGGGGGGGGGTGAATTCCTGCTCTCGTGTCTGTGCTACTTACAGACATCTACCATATTATGGGCTATTTACATAATCATTACATATCCCGTTTGAGTATTGAGTAAAGATAATCCATTTATTTAGGTTGACTTGTACAAATAAATCACTTCCGGTGAAGCAAAATAATACTTTTATTTCAATGAATCCATATATCAGTAATCTTACCTAGTAAATAGTAGCTATCTTATTTTTGAGGCTCTGTGATATATACTGCATCATTTCGTCATACTCTTATACCTGCAAACTGGAGGAAATCACTGATATTTATCATATAAGTGTCGTGAATGAATTTTAGGTAATGACATTTCTATCCGTCAGAGGCGCTGCACACCGAAAACGTAATCGGGCCGAATGAAAAACAAATATTTTCAAATTTTTGTTATCATCATATTTTATCCACTTTTGACGATATAAATTGAGATTATGCTAATTGATAATTGTTTATGAATTATGTATACAACGAACAATGTAATTAGATCATGGATACCCCTCACTGTAGGTAGGGAAACATTACTTTTCCTCATCCTTGCCTGGCCTGAATTTATTTGTTGGAAATTTGTGAAAATATTCATTCTCATGTCAGTCAGTCACAGACACAGATATTGGCCAGATCGTTTTGTAGTAGGATCATAGGCTCAAAGAATAATATTGAGCTACTGATTCTACTACAAAAAAATCTGGCCGGGATCTATGGTCACAGAGATACATACTTACAGTACCCAAATGAACGTGTGGTTGATTTTTCAAATATGCCCCAGAACTACTTGTGTGTAGAAATCTTAGAGCTGTAAAACGTTCAATGAATCAATCACTATTCGTATTCACCACCCCTTATCAGTGCTACACAAATTGCTTGATATCTGACATTTATACATTTTGTTATTTCAGCATCTACTATCCAGTCAATGGTAAGCAGTCTTCTTGGAAGCCGAGGCAGGTATGTATGATCCACATGCTATATATTGCAAGACTTATGCCTGGCACAACCATCACCATGTTATTAAGTGTTTTTAAGTTTCGCAAGGATCCTGCCATGACCGTGGTATTGTTATCGTGAAAGCCTGGTATAATCGTGACAATGCTACATTATATATTGCAAGACCTATCATGACCGTGGTAATGTTAAAGCCTGATATGACCGTGACAATGCTATATTATATTGCGAGGCCTGTCATAACGGTGGTAATGTTAAAGCCTTATATGACTGTGGCAATGGTTGTAAGGCCTATCATGACCATGGTAATGTTAAAGCCTGATTGTACTTTAACATTACCACAGTCATGACAGACCTTGCAACGATTAAGGTCACGGTCATATCTAGTTCAACGTCGTTAAACTCAATAACGGCGTTCTTTATTATTAGGAATTTTCTTGGGGCCATTATTGAGTTTAACCTCCTTACTATTCTTTCCTTTGATGCAAGTTCTGAATCCATCGAAACCATTTTTCCGCGATAACGTGCAACTGATACTTGACAATAATATAAAAACACATAACATCAAGCGATTTAACACAATATTATTGTGTTAAATGTTCATTTATACGAGTAAAATGAGGCTACACTTACCAATCTCTAAAGTGACATTTCCGCATGTCCGTCATTGTGTCTGTTCGTCTGAGTGTCCCGGATCGTAAAATTAAACTACCAGCGAGACGAAATTGTTGTCAAATAGATTGATAATTATTATCGCGATTACTCGGGATAAAAAGATCAATTTTGAGGATAACAGGTATCTTTGATTAATTTATATAGCGCGTATATACACGCAAAATAGTTATTAATTGCAAACCAACTGTTCGTTAATGCAGTGCCGTGATGACGGTTAATTCCTGAAACAATTTGCAATTTCGATGTTACTGAAACTGACCAACATTTTCGTCATATTCCAAACCTGTCTCCAATATTTTCGTAATTATGCATCAATAGGGTCTAAGGGGGATACGGGACGGGGTGTATGTGTTTATAAGGTATGTATGTATGCTTGAATCACATTCTTTGTGTAATATTGCCATGTTTTCAGGGTTCAATTAGTTCCGCTTGTCTAAACCTGCTGAACGATTAAATTAACGCATCAAAGGCAAAATGGTCATGGAGGTTAGACCTAGCCGGGCCATAACACATGTCAGATAAGAAACGAGGCCCGGGCTAGGTCTAATGTTGTTGGACTAGGTCATATCAGGCTTTAACATTACCATGGTCATGTCAGGCCTTGCAATATTGTATAGCATTGTCACGGTCATATCAGGCTTTAACATTACCACGGTCATGTCAGGCCTTGCAATATAGTATAGCATTGTCACTGTCATTTCAGGCTTTAACATTAGCACGGTCATGACAGGCCATAGCATTGTCACGGTTATACCAGGCTATCACAATAACTTAATAACATGGTGACGGTTGTGCCAGGCATAAGTCTTGCAACAGAAAGGGTCTCGTATGATCTAGTGCTGAATGTAAAAAGTTAGCCTTTGTATAAAAAACCTCCTACCTCATACCCACCTACCCACCTACGTGGGACATTATACAGTCATTGAAGGGTTCAATTTTCAAGATTTTTTAATCTCAAAAAAGCTCTTATTATTAACATTTCTACAATTCTGGCTTTATTTTATGACTAGACAGATGACAGATCCATAAATAAAGGCATATGGGTGCATTGTAATGTGTAATGACCCAAAGGTGCCCCAGGGGAATAACTAACTAACAACCGCGAGCATAGGTCCAACAAGCCAGATAAAAAAATCGAAAGAAAGTGTGCTAAATTCGATGCCCCGATTGGGAATCGAACCCAGCTGAGCTGTAGTAGCAACTTGCTATCAAGGGTCGTTACAAATGCACATATAATTCATCATAAACTAAGATTTAATAAACTACGATCTTTAAAATTGAACCCTTCAAAGACTGTATCATGTCCAATATACGTGGGTAGGTGGGTATGAGGTAGGAGTTTTTTTATGAAGTTACAAGAAATGTTTTAACTACCTGTAGATCTACTCACACAATAAACTAAGCCTGAGTGTCTTTCTACTGAAGTGATAAACTGTTTTGAAAGAAATTGTGAATTTATGGTTGTCTAAAAAGGTCCATGTCTAAAATCAGCTGCCATGTTACCTTTTATGACTTGGCTGTAACTGTTGTTGTATTCTCATTGTTACAAATGTATTTTCCATATATTTCTAGTTTGAAATGTATTGTGGATGATGATGTGCACATTCTCACTAACTGTGCTGCTAGACTACTACAGGACTTGCATATTGAGGTATTATGCTCAACAATATTTTCAAAATAAAATTGAAGAAAATGAGTGCAGAAACTGTTACAAATTACAATTTTTATGTAGTTCAGGGAATTTAAATAAGATGCTGTGCCATGTCTTTTGTGATACAAGAAAACATGTGAAAATCAACATTTTTACAGTACATGTATAACATATTTCAGCACCCTGTGGGCTATGTGATCAATGAGGCCTGCCAGTCACACCATAAGCAGTACAGGACAGGCTGTAAGACACTCTGTGTACTTATAGGCCTATATATGAAACAAGCACAGCAACTCATTCAACAGGTAACCCACCAGTTATTTGTTCCATTTGACCATGGGCTTTTTGATTGGACTTCAGAATAGCCATAATTATGAAAATAAAAGGATTTATGAATCAATTACGCCGTGAACACAAAAATTCAATTATAACAATCAAAATGAATCCCTTATTACCCATATGGGTATTTTTGTGAAGTGGAACACATTTGGGATCTCTAAAAGGTGTTCTACTTGGGAGTTGTACCCCTTATAGAGGTTCATTCATCATTATCCCAACGAACAAAGTTCGGTAAGGATGAATTGAAGCCCTCTGTTCGTCAGTCAGTCCGTCTGTGCAGTGTATTTATATATTACAGGATGTCCATCCAGAAGATAACTGGAATACTAGTTGACAGATTTGTTGAGATGTTTTTCAAGTATAACTTTATTATACTCAAATAAAAGGCAATTAAGAGTAGATTGCAAATATTGTATCGTTTTTCTGATTCGGCCCTCGTAGAATTCAAAATGGCTGGCTAATGTGGGATTTCACAATAATTTTCTGATCTCTTCAAAGTATGGCTATATTATACTCAAATTGAAGGAATTTTAGAGTAGATCACAATTATGGTATTGTTTTTCTGATTTGTGGCTCAGAAAATCCAAGCTGGCTGCCTAGAGCAGGAATTTGCCATTACCTAGAGATATCTTTACTTTATGGTTACATGATACGACAATGATCTGAAATATTTATTGAAGGGAAGAGGAGATGGTAGATATTACATTGTGATTGATGATTTATATATGTGTTTGTTTGGATTTGCTACTCCATGGAGTTGCTGATTTCTAGTTAAGTCAGTTGTTCATAAGACTATGAAAAGTGTTCCGCTAACAGAGGTGTTCAACTTCTAGAGGTGTTCCACTAAAGGTTTCACTGTATGTTCATAATTGGTGGCTATTATTTAGTCATTTGGTGTTTAATGAATGGATGCCGTTGATAGGCATAGCCTCTATAATTTATTCATATTTTATTTGTCAATTCTAAGATAATAGACAAAACATAATATGGTTTGTGTTGAAAATATTGTAAACTTGGAGATTTTGGATTATTTCCAGCAACAAATACCTGATATTCATATGTATGTGTTCCAGGGTGTTCCAGTTCTTTGTATTGTCCAGGGGTTCAGGGATGCTATAGAAGTTTGTATAGACAACCTGGCACCAGTCACTGTAAATGTAGATGAACTCTTGCATGATATCAATAAAGAACCAGACATTGATGAACCCTCCGTTGAAGCCGACAATACTGCTGGTAATGAAATCAATGATGCAGAAGATGAACTCACTAACAATCAAAGCAATGATCACATTAGGAGTAAAGTAACATATGCCAAGTCAAATAATCCAAGCTCAGAGAGAACACATATAAAATACACAACTTGTAAATCTAGTTTTACTGACCAAGATAAGTTATTGTTGCAAGATACCCCCGATGCAACAGATGCTTGGCAAGAGATCATATTTACATGTAAAGATCTGAAAACAATTGCAAAATCTAAAGATGAAATCAAAACCGAAAGCCTAAACACTGATTTCATCATTCCTCCTATTATTCTAAAAGAGTCTACTCTCAAGGAAAAGGATACTGATGAAGACAATGATATATCTTGGGTGTTTGACATTGAGTCAACAACCAATGAAAGTATAGCGCAAGAAGGTGATGAAGAAAATGATGCAGATGCACTGAAATCATTGACAAAAGATCTCAGTGAAATTATCTGTGGAATTGGTAACAAGAAACATGAAAACCATAAAAGTGATGTAGGGCTAATGGGTATTTCACCAAATGATGAAGATGCTGATGAATCAGATGATGAGTTTGATAGCTGCTTTGATGATATTCCAACAACAAAGATGACAAAGGAAGATTCTCCACAAATAATTGGCAATCTTGAAAAACCGAAACGACCTCGAACTAGTGCAATTGATGAACAAGATGATGAATTTGATAGCTGCTTTGATGGCCCACCAATCAATAATGTTAGAAATACAAATACATACAGGAATCTAAGTGTTATGCATAAATTTAACAATGACCCAACCCAAGCATTAATAAAATCATCTGATTGTGATATTCCTGGAGATGAATTCAGTGAATGCTTTCAAGATATTACCAATCAAAATACTCTTACAAACATTATACCATCTAAAGCCAAAATAGACAACAAACCAAACATTTCTATACAAAAGTCCACCATTCAAGAGCACATGTCAAAAGATTGTCTGTCATTAAATTCTATTTCTAGCTTACTGGGTGCTTTAGGGAAAGACAGCAAGCCTAGTGTAACCCAATCTCCCAAGCCTAGTCAAAGTAGACACTTTAGAACGATGAATGATACTCAAGATCACAGAAAAGTGCAAGAAAACATGTTCTTGTATCCAGAAGATAATTCTCATAATATCAGTGTAGTAAAAACAACTGAACATAGGAATGGAAATATTCCATGGGATGAAACATCGAAGGTGAAATCTCAATACATTGATAGAACTCAGGCTATATCTAAAGATCAATCATGTGGATTAACTAACCAGGAATCTCAAACATCCATTCCAAGTGTCTCTCAATGTGATAATAAAAACCTTGCTCAATTTGATAATCAACATCATGTTCAAAACTTTCAGCTGGTTACTAAAGGCGATCAGTCAAATCATCAAGCACCTCAAGCACAAAGAAACACTAATTCAATGCAACACGATGAATTCTATAAAATGATCCAAGAGAAACTGAAGGAAACTAAACCAAAAGTTAACAAAGCTGCTTTTCATTTAAGAAGTCGACATTTGATGGACCAGGAATCTGAAGATATTAAAGTTGATGAACTAGGAACTAAAGATGAAGTAATGTCATTCACGAATGAAAATATGCTGCTAAATGACAGAGTTGGAAATACTATGGGTGCTGACCAAGTCTTTCAAAGGACAAATAATGTCGATAATGAATCTGAAGCTGCACAGTTCACAGGTCAAGAGCAACATGTAATTTCTGATAATTATGTCACATCTCCTAAACAACCTGCAACTATGGAGAAGGGTATGACACCTGAGAAACTTGTAGAACTTGGCAAAGCACTTAAACATGGAGAACCTGAAGTGATTGACCTTGCTATTGAAGCCATAAAGAAATTATCCAATCATCAACAAACTATAAGGTGAGTAATTGTGGTTTTTAGTGTACATTTGAGGTTGATATTTATATTGAGATATTTTGCCACTATAATAAGTACATGTCTGTTCATGTGGAACACATGGAAACTTCAATAGGCCTACATTTCACAAAAATGATATTTTGAATCTGAATTTAAGAAAATTTGAAAAATCAAAGATTGTGAATACATGAACTTTTTTTATTTTTTATTACTAGTATAAGCAATTATTGTAAAAGGTGCATTGTGTATTTTAGTATCATTGACACAAACCAGTTTCACACAATGTGCATGGCTGGACCAGAGGAAATGTCTTGCGTTGTTGAGGGAATTGTCATAGCAACAGAACTTTCTTCGCTGCATCATTTTCAGAAAGCTACTCACAATGCAATAGTAAGTATAAAGTTCACCGTTTGGTGTTCAATAAAAAACATACTCATAATATTTTCACACAATAGTATTGTTGGCTCTTTCATTTTGTTTCTACATTTTATGATATTTCATCTTAATATTTGTGCATATGATGTCATTTGACAACTTGACATTAGGGAAGTTAAGATAAACATTCTTTTTAAAACTTGGTCATAAACGTGTAGAGTTATGGTCCTCTATGGGTTAGTTCTCCCATTTGTACTGCTTTCCTGGCTGATAAAGTATAAAGGTAAATGGAAAATAATTGTAATTAGGTCCCTGGGAAAGTGAATTGAGAGTGGGACAGTAATCCATGGGGGTCGAAATATTACATACTCACATACCAGTGGCGGATCCAGGTCTCCCCCTGGATCTGCATACAGCTTCTCTTTAGAATGTGTAACTTAACTTCCCTTCTATCTATTAAACTCCACATATATGTAAAATTGTAAATATTCAATCACCCGTCCACTGGATATTAAAGTGGGGATCATTATCGTATACAAATTAACTCATCATATACTTTTCTAGAGTCCAAGACATTATTTAGCTTTTGATATATAAATGGGAATATACAAAGCATTGTAACTAATTTACAAATATGATTGAAACATTTCTGATCGACTCTGACTTATAATGATTTTAATGTACAATATAGCAAATTATTTAATTTGTGACATGTTAAATTTATGAAAAACACATTAGCAAAATTAAGGTGCTTTTACAATGTCAATATTATTCAATATTAAGAACCTTTTATACATAATATTTCAGTTTGTAAATGGTGACCTGAGTGACACTTATCACCACATAGGCTACAAAAAAGCAGTAACTGTTCATATAGCAACAACTGGTCTGGCTAGCAGGTCATCATCTGAAAAGTGGTTTGATCAAGCAGTTGGCATGTTAAGAAAGGTAATAATGATGCAAATGATAGTATTATTAAAGAATAGGTCTCATGGCAATGTTCCGTTTTAAAAGATTGAAACATTTCAACTCTCAACTATGACATAAGTTAATACAGCTTTTGTACTAATATGTATGTATGTATCATTTATTTGCGTCTAAAATAATTGATATTGATTTTAATTTTTAAGATTTTTTTTAATGTAGTTTTATAAATACATGCACATGTACTTAGAATTAAGACAACAAATCAAAATGTTTACCAACATATAAAATGTTAATTCAGCAATTTCCTTTTAGTTTCAGATAGGATTGATCATATGCAAAGGCCGCATATCTAGTGAACTAAAGGACTGGTGTATAAGTGAAAAAATTATTCCAATAGAGAGTGCACCAATGTCTGCTCTACAGGCCCTGGCTGTGGGTGTACAAGCACAGCTACTCACCTACATAGACGAGTGTACAAAGGTATGTACATTATGTATGATATTCCATACCCTGCGCACAGAGTCTAGTTATAAACTACCCTCTGCATGGTATAGACTATATTACAGTTTAGCAGCCCCGCCCCAAGGATTGGTGCCTGTGACAGCCCGGATACAAATCTACCACGCTGACCCTTTCTCAACCAATCAGCATACTGGAAGGAACTAGCGCTAAATACGTGATCATTAACTATGTGGGGATGTCAGAGGAAATAACCATATAGAAAGTCGTCCTTATTTTCACGACGAACTGAAAGAGTGAAGACAAGCTCTCTTTTAAGAAGTGCAGTCGAACGAATACAAAGGGTAGATATTCCAAAGCTGCCAGGTATCATCTCAGGCTTTAAGTCACTTTCATGGATTTTAATGGTTTAAAAACATATTTTAGACAAAATGACTTTGAATGACTTTTTCTGATAATTGATAAAAACCAAAATCATCCGGAGGTTAAGGACATCTAAATTTTTTATCTCGACTCACTTTTATAAATGGTATAAAAACCATCATGTTATCCTAAATATAAAATTAAACAGGTATGATTAATTGAGTGACTTGAAATAAATATACTTTTTCATTTGAAAAATACTTTTATTTTAAATTGATCAGTCACTTTTTTAACTTAATACATTGGGGAAAATGAGGAAAGTAAATCTCTGTGTACAATATTCTGCACTTGTAGCTCTTTTTATTGAGGTTTCCTGTTTTATAAAACCTGTCATCTTTTATTTATGAATATAGATGAGCACACCAGCAAATGTCTAATACATCATTTAGAGAAAAGCTTGAAATATAAAATATAGAAAACATATGCCTACAAAATGAAATAAACATTATGTTCATTCTTTATTTCAGGTTAACATTGGTAGTGGTATAGGGATACAACCGTGGCAATTGGATAGTGGTATAGGGATACAACCGTGGCAATTGGATAGTGGTATAGGGATACAACCGTGGCAATTGGATAGTGGTATAATGGATAATTGCTATATTAAACTTTCATTGCACAGATCAATGGTCCAGGTATTACTTTTCTTTGTTACATATTTAAGGAATAAATAATGATAGGCCATTCAATATGGTGAAATTCAGCACGAGTTGGACAGAATGTTGTACAAAGCACGAACCGAAGGTGAGTGCATTTGTACTAACATTCTGTCCAACGAGTGCTGAATTTCACCATATTGAATGGCCTATCATTATTTATTCCAATTCAAACATAAAAATTAGTAAAAGCCGTGTCTGTGGAACGGGCATGAAGGAAGAATACGCATGCTGTCAAGATTCTGAAGTCGGCCGGAAAAATTTTAGAATTTGTTTGGGCTGTTCTATTTTACTCCCCGTTTTAGATTTTATACGGTGTATAAACTTGAAGTCAGCCATAGTTAAATAGTTACAGTAGTTACGGAGGGAGTAAAAAAGAACAGCTATCCCCGGACAGAGCCCCAGATGTGCAGCTGAGATGTGACGTCACTCAAAACAATGCAAATTGCAGATTGAATAGAGCATGGTCGTGCATCTATGGGGAATTAGAGAACGTTCTATATTGGCTATGCTGCATTCTGATTGGTTGAGAAATTCGAATAGAGCACGGTCATGTTTGAATGAACTATAAATATGTCCTAAGTACTGTATGTACATGTACTTTGAAAAAGTCACGAAAAAATCATAAATCATAAAAAATCATAAATAGTGAATAAAACTCTGGAGTAACTTTACCCATATCCCATACATATAGGTTATTTACTGGGAGGGATTGAATATGGGTTTTATTCCAAGGGACAATATGATATTGACCGAAGGGTAATATGATATTGACCGAGGGAGCGCAGCGACCGAGTGTCAATATGATATTTCCCAAGGTCAATATCATATTTTCCGAGGAATGAAACCCATATTCAATCCCGACCAGAAATAACCTATTTATTCCATAATACATTCCTCTAAAATGTTACATTTGAAAATGCTTTTATCAATTAGCTAAGGTTAAAAATAACAGGAAAACCCAAAATAGGTTAGTACGTTCCAATACTTTTTTTTTCCCCGGGGACAATACGATTTTTTCATGTAATACGATTCAATACGATTTTTATTCCTTCATATTTCCCTGGGAAAACAGTAGTATTATGGAATAAATTTATTTATACAGTGCTATGAACTAAAACTTGGTATTATATTTGCAGACTATTGTGATATGTCACCCTGTTGCTTCTGTAAGATACATCAGGGAAGAACAGTTTTGGCACACCCTGTACCATCTTAAGCATGACATTGGATCTGGTAAACTTCTACAAGGTGCTGGAGCTACAGAATTACATTGTTCTGATATTTTGGAAACTCATCACTCCTCTAAAGGTACAATTAGGTTTTGAGAATATCATGGAGGAATATTTACTTTCATGGCTAGGGGTTGTAGTTTACTTAAGTCGACTTATGAAAATTGTGTTTTAAATGATTGTTAACTATATTTTCTTTTTTAAAAAGAGTTCTAGTGACGGTTTATTTGATATGGGATGGCTTGTATCCCATTTTATGAATCTGTTTTTTAGATATTTAAAAGCCCTGAATTGACTTTCTGATCCTGCTTTGTGTTAGCATAATGTACCATTCAAAAGTTTGTGTGAGACCCCCCCCCCCAGGCGGGCATGGATGGGGAATTCGACAAAAAAATGTTGGCCTGGGGAAAAATAAATGTGTCAATTTCCCTACCCTAGGAGCATTTGAAATCTATTTTTAAACATCAGATTTCCTTGTGAGTAAACTAATGCTCGTGAATGTCGAATCCTGAGAATCCTAAAGTTTATACTGTATGAAACAGATTCAGTCAAAAATCCCCATTCCCGGGCACATGTGAAACAAATTCCTCACTCCCTCCAGGGACAACAATCTTCGTCAAATTCCTACCCCTGGGGGCAATATTGTGTATCAAATTCCTTTCCCTCCTCGCGTGGGGGTCTCACACAAACTTTTGAATGGTGCATAACTCAAAAGTATTACTGTTTCTCAACTAATTATTATGATGTAATGTCAAAGTAATAAAATGGAAAAACTCCCTTCGCTCGAGTTTGCTAAGATTTTTTTGTTTTCTCAATTTGAACCTGTTCTGTTTATGTTATATTCCCAATAAAGCTTAGAGATTATTGGCCGACTTTGTTCAGTTTATTTCAATATGGCGTAAGCCTCGATCACAGTGCAGAATGACGTAATACAAAATAATTATGGCTTGCCAGCCTGACAATACAATCTGACAATTACACGACAGAACATGTTGCAAATTATAGTTCAGTTTGAAGTTAGAGAATATAGTCTTGTTTAAGAAAATACCTCCAGTTTGGAATTTGCTTATTACCAAACTCGAACACAGGCACTTCCTCCATTTTGTTACTTTGACGTTGTGTCAAAGGAATTAGTTGGGGAAAAGCGATATATGTAATGTGAAATTTGAGTATTATTTGTATTTGATAAGTTGCATCAAACCAGAATCCACATTTAAACAAGTTAATTACAGGGTGCCCGGAAAGTAAAGATACAAATGCTCTAACTTCAATAGATTTACCTGCTGTGAGATGAAATTGCTACAGATTGTAGAATGACATTTCAACAATATATCCTGCAACTGTCATGACATATAGTTTCAAAATGAAAAAGTTATGGTCGTTATGGTAACAGGAGTTGGGGGTATGTGGAGCAGCGTCACAATTAATTTTATTGTATTTTATAAATCTTTTTCCTATTCATATCATCATGGCACTCAACCCATTTGTTCCTATAAAACATCAAATTATATCCCACAACAGCATGATGATTAGTACTCTAATGTTATTTTATCATTTAACATGACTACTATTATCCGGTATTATGTTTTCCCCGCATTTTCTATATGTTCATGGTGCATCTTAACCAGAGATTCAAAGACCAGACAAAACCGCTGCTGTTCGTCTCCAGATTTCTGATTGCATTCGCTTCCAGTTGTGTCTCATTTGAATACTGAACTTCTAACAAATATCGCTTTGAGATGCTCGTTAAGGTAAAAGTCTAAAGGGGCCTTTTCAGGTAAATATGGGGCATTGTACAAAAAGGTTTAGTGTCAAGACCCATTTTGAGATTTGTTGTTGGCTTTCCTTTGTGAACTGGTGCATTGTGGAGGTGGATTATTGACTTTCCTTATTAACCCAGGGAACTTTTGTTTTAAGCACTTGTATAATATTTCTTTGATTACACTATGACATAACATAGTTCTAACATGTATCATTGACACCATTACACATAAGAGAACATAATAGCAACATCATACAATATTGAAGAAAACAAAACATTGATAGAAAACACAATGATGAACACTCTTTCAAATGGTTATATTTTTTAAATAATCATTAGCAATTAATCAGATTTTAGCGATGATCTGGAACTGCTCCACATACCTCTCACCTCCGTAACTATGACAACTGTAACTTTAAACGGTTTAGACTAAATGGGATGAGAGTTGGTAGATACATTGTGATAATGTTCCTCTACAAACTGTAGCAATTTCATTGCAATACTCCTAAATCTCTTAAAATTAGAGTATTTGTATCTTTACTTTCCGGACACCCTGTAATTTACAAATATTTTCAGATTGTGTAGCAGGAAAGTACCATAGAGTGAGGAGTGAGGTTTATAAAGCTGTAGCAGGAGCTTTCAGGAGATACGTTGCTATAATAGAACACAATAATCCAAAATCCCAACTGCCTTGTCATACTCCCAGTCATAACATTATCTCCCTTGGAACAGAGAGTACTCACAACAGTAACACTTCAATGAGGATAAGTGATCAGGGATTGATATTTGATGATTTTGATGGAAAGATTGAATCATGGCGAAGTGCAATAGATGTTGTGTGTACACTTTTACAGACACAGGTGCATATCTCTACTGGGGAGGACTCTACAGTGAGAGATACCCTGCAACACACAGTTGGATATATCTAGTATATATACTCATAAGAAACATATAAAGAATGTTTCAAATAATTTATCGATGGTTTTTTTTACTTGGAAATGTTGTACAACCTGGAGAGCTTAACTTTTGTTGTTAAAATTGTGTGAAATTCAAATGTTTCAAAAACAAAACACTAACAGTTTATCTCGCCAGGCTAGATGATATCTACTGTTTGGAGCATTGATGATTTGAGGTAAATTGTGGATATTCATATAAAGATGAGATGGCATGTATTCGACAGTTAAGGTACACATGATGTGACCCAAGTATCATTCTGTGACCATCATAATAACATTGATCATTACATTTTCCTCCAACACTGGCCCAATCATATTTTCATGAGTGGACTTCTCAGTATTTCGTCTTCTCAAAAATGGCTAATATTGATAAAGCGTATTTTATAATTTTTACCAAAATACAGAAAAAAATTTAAAATATAAAAACAAAGTAAAATTGATTCATACGCTATAGTTAGTTTACCGTAATATCAAAATATTCATTTTGCTTAATCAGGCTTTGCATGTGTCAATTAAATTGACACTTTTAAACAGATTTTTGATCACCATGCGTTTAAATTGCAGAATGTTTGAGCAACTTTTCTTCTTCTCATTTCCAACAATTGCATCGTGGAACAGAGTCCTTAAATGAGAATTCGTAAACATGTTGTCAGGGTCCAGATCTTCTTGGTTACGGGTTCTTATGAACTCATCAAAGTTGTTGCCGTAGTTCTGACGAAGGTGATCAATTATACCAGGGATGTAGTCATAATATTTAGCCCAGTGTGGCAAGATCCGACTGTTGTTTGACATCAGTCTAGTGGCAAACTGAAATGCAAGAGTGTGTGACTGAAGAATTTGAGGCTTAATTCACTCTATATTACGTGACATTAATGTACCATCTAGCATAGATAAGGTATGTTAGGTGCATGATTAAATATTATGTGAAATCTGAAGGAAAATATAGAAGCGTTAAGAATAATTTATTGTTACTGATGAATACTGTTTGGTAGAAAGTGAAATTTTCCCAATATGTTTGTGATGTAAAAACATGCCATTAGAAAGCAATCATTGGTGGTTCTGTGGAACCTAGTGATATTTTGAGCTATAATGACAGAATTTACAATAATGACAAATGATGGAAATACTCATGATAAAAGGTGTAATTTTGGTGATTCTTCCTGCGATTGCTCATATTGTCGTCGGCGACAAAAATAATATTTCAAAGATTTCATATCACATGATACAATTAGCATATGCAATATGGAAATGTAAGATATAATACATGTCCAAATATTGTGTTTTAGGGAGATGTCAGCCTTTAAACCTTCACAACTAGTCTGAAACGAAAACTAGTCTCAATGCTAGTTCGAAATCACCAATTATTTTATTTTATGGTTAATTATTTTACACACATTGATACCCCCCCCCCCCCCCCCAACAGGAATGCTATTACATTATGAAATTATTTTGGATGCTTCCTTTACAGCAGCCTTTAACCAAACTTAAAAGAGTCTCTCTGTAATCAGGTTTGTTTTGCCTTGTCAAAATATTTTGCTTTGGTAGTGGATTAATAAAGTTTCTTTAGACACATCCTTTAAAGCAGACTCTAATCAAACTGGAGAGGCTAGGTTTACTGTAATCAAGTGATTTCCTTTTTAGAAGTTATGTTTATGGATTTATTAAAAACGGCCTAAATCACTCAAAAAGTTCTTAGAATGGTGAAAAAGTGCATGATTTTAAAAGAATTTTTGGCCGGGGGGGGGGGGGGGTTCGCTTGGACCCCTGAACCCCCCCCCCCCCCCCCCAGGAATGCTATTACATTATGAAATTATTTTGGATGCTTCCTTTACAGCAGACTTTAACCAAACTTAAAAGAGTCTCTCTGTAATCAGGTTTGTTTTGCCTTGTCAAAATATTTTGTTTTGTTAATGGATTAATAAAGTTTCTTTAGACACATCCTTTAAAGCAGACTCTAATCAAACTGGAGAGGCTAGGTTTACTGTAATCAAGTGTTTTCCTTTTAATAAGTTATGTTTTTGGATTTAATTATTTAAGACGCATCCTGTAATAATATCTGATTGCATTTTCTCCATCAATAAATTTCTTTATAGCCCGATCAAACCTATCAAATATAATGCATATATAAGGGTTATGTACTGGGAGGTTTTGGATACCCATATTTCCTGAGGGATAAACCCTTTATTTAAAACTGATCGTACATAACATGTGTATTCCATACCTTTTGAGGTTTCTAGATACATTCTACCTTATTAAGTTCTAAAATTCAAAAACATAAAGGTACACATTTTCTCAGTCTTAAAAATAAGTTTTTCATGAGATTTTCACTCATATTGCTTGAGCAAATTAATTAATATTGATATCAAAATTAAAATATATAACATGAACATAGAACCTCATTTGTTCGAGTATACAGCTGTAGCAAAATCCATGGTATAGATGTCAAAGTCAGGAAGATGTCGTAATTCAAAATCTAAGTATATTTTTCAGTATAAATTTACACTTAAATATGCCCTTAAATTTCAGTATATTTTTCAGTACATATTTGCACTTAAAATCACACTTAAATTTCAGTATATTTTTAAGTACATGTTTGCACTTAAAATCACACTTAAAATTCAGTATATTTTTCAGTATAAATATATACTGAAAAATGTACTTAAAATTTTAGTACATTTTTCAGTACATATTTATTCTGAAATTTGCACTGAACTTTTAAAGGCCCCATGTAAAGTTTAAACCACTTTGGCTTATATTGTAGTCTTACCCAATGTTATCAAAGTGTGATATGTGAAACTTTTTTTTTAAATTTCAAAAAGTGGTTTTTGATAGACTTTTTGTTCCAAAATTTGTGAATTTATTTAAAACCAACTTTTAGAGATCACTCATATGTTGTAATTAGCCACAATTCATACCAATGCATAGAATTCATCCTCCCATGTTTTTTGCCGAAAAAATTAAGAAAATCGGTTGATAAACAAGCGAGAAATGAACTTATCAGTGCATGAAAATGGTTCTGAGAAAAATGCATTCCAAAATTTTAGTTCTCATAGAAACCAATGGTACAATGATATCTAAAACATAATTTATTCTTCTTTTTAACCTGGTTAGACAATCAACATTGGTTTTTTATGAAAGTCTAGCATATTTAGAAAAGATTGACATCGAAAAAAAATTTTCAATTTTTTTCAAAAAGTTTTTGTTACCTTAGTGACATCACTAATGTTTCAAAATATTTTTGATATGCTAAAACATTGAAGTGGCTCATTAAATATGGAATTTTATTATTGAAATAGTGTGTCCTTTGTTCAATCTTTGCATTGGTGTTAAAAAGATAATCTTTTTTTAAATGCATTAAGAAATATTTGATGATTAAGAAATTTCAACTTTTTTTGAAAAATGTTTTTGTTCAAAAATCTCTAAAATCACTTTTTAAGTCCTGACAAATAGGACATGAATGATAAAAAAATATTTTCAAACTTTAGACGGGGACTTTAAGTATATTTTTCAGTACATATTTATACTGAAAAATATACTAAAAAAATTCAGTACATTTTTCATGAAAATGCTCCTTTCGTACAAATGCTCTGCCCTAGCGAATGATTCATATGATTTATGTTAAACCATGCCATGTATTATATATCATTTTAAAGATAAATTATTTCTTACAAAATGACACCATACAATATCCCAGATGCGAGTAGAAATACTCTTGATTTACGCAAGAGACGTATTATGTCAGTCATCGCTAATAGGCTCTGGGGCTTTCCCTCCTCTTGAAAATGATTAAATTTTTGACTGAAATATTACATACCGTACTACTCCAGACTTTGTCTCTTGCCAATTCATTCAGTAAATTTTTGTTACAAGGGCGACACGCTACCCCATATTCAAACTCGAAAAGCATCTTGAAATCATTTGCATTCTGCAAATAATAATACATTCCTCTAATTTGTTGTCAATTCCAAACTGCTTTCATCTTGTCACGTTCACTGTAATGTGACTTAATCGGCAAGCGAGGGGAAATATGGCAATAGATGTTTGAGAAAATGTCAAAACTATAACATAGACTCTCTCAGTTCAAATAATTGTACCTTGGTATGGCATAGTGTGCAGTCATCCTTGTGACTGGTCCAACGGAAAAATCCAAATGAATCTCTGTAGAATCCGATTGTTCTGATGGCCGTTTCACACACATCAAAATAGTTCTATAATTATAGTTCATGAAGCCATTTTTATATATCAATAGTGTATACAGACTCAGCATGTATGCAAATAACGGCTATCGGGTTTGGGCTAGTCTGAGGGCAAGCAATCTGCCAATTTAGCAGCATATAACAATGGCCTATGGTCTGTTTGCCAATAGGATAGTTTCTAAATAGCAGAAAAATCAATGAAATCTCGTGCTGCCATCTTTTATTCAGCTTTTAACTTGGGCTAGAGCTCCATTCATTTACATGCTAAAATCTTGGAAAAGTGGCTTAATTTCGTGATTTATCAAAGTGTGTTTGTTAAATCTGTATATAACTTGAATGATATACCACATGATGACCCTGTTTATGTACATGTTGTGATTAAACATGCAAATGTTGATTGACATACAAATAATCCACGGTTTTAAAGAATTTTAGCATTGCATCTATGGACATTTGGCCCCCGGGATTTGGCCCAAGTTTTTTTTAACTGTTATAGAAAATTATTCAAATTACATAACTTTGTAAATCAAAGCTATTATAGGAGAAAACATTTCACTGATTTCAAATATGCCATTTAAAGGAAGGTAATGTAAGTCATTAGAGGTCTAATATGCAAGTCTCTTAAAATCTCACGAAAAACGAGATTTAGCGGGATTTCAAAAGCTATATGGAAAATATACTATTCGACTGAACGGCTTTATTAATCGATCCTCTCTTTGGCATAGAAAGTCAAGTGATCATTGTTCGTCGGGCAGATATAGCTGGCAGATATTTAAGGGTTATGTACTGGGAGGTTTTGGATATATGGTATATCCCGAGGGATATATAGAGATTATCCTATATGAGGTTCAGGATATTGGGATTATCCCGAGGCCAATATAATATATTTGCCCGAGGGCCGCAGGTCCCGAGGGAAAATATATTATATTGACCAAGGGATATCCCAATATCCTGAACCGACTATAGGATAATATGTTTATCCCATACCAATCTTGGTCATCTGGTTCACATTGTTCAATCGTGGAAATATTTTAGAATATTCATGTCCAGTTTTGTTTTCTTGGCCGTGGGCGGATTTTTCTGTTCTCTCAAATATTCCCACATCTATTTTCTCGAATTTTTTAAGTGGATGCTCCTTCCCTTTTTTAAACCATCAAACAGATCCCGATTGTCTGTGTTTTCTCCATTGTCGTTTACAGTCATTACGCGAACGTTACAAATTATGAACAAATATGCGAGCAGCGATTATGACGTAGCGGGCAGATATACTATATCTGCCCGCTCGGAGCGGGACGTAAAGCTATATCTGCCCGCTGATGAAAATATAAGTTTTTACAAACCGGCTTTATGTACCTAAATTTATCCCATACTTGGACGTGTTACAGGTACATAAAGCCGGTTTGTAAAATCTTATATTTTCATCAGCGGGCAGATATAAGGGTTATGTACTGGGAAGTTTTGGATACAGGGTTTATCGCAAGGGAAATATGTGTATCTCACGAGGGACTGCAGGGACCGAGGGAGATACACATATTTCCCGCGGGATAAACACTGTATCCAAAACCGACCGTACATAACTGGTGTATCTCATACTTGAGTGGGTTTGGGGTAGATATAACCTTTACCACCTTTTTCAAATGACAAGATAGGCCTATACTGTAAAAGCACAATTTATATTTAACATTTTCATAATATTCCTTCAGCTCAATACAATAGAATTGTAACATTTAAACTTTTTGAAAAATTTTAAACTTCTGAAATTTAAATTTTTTAAAGGACGATTCTCGGTTTGGAGAACAGTCTTCTGGGCTAATAATTTTTTCATGAAAAATATAGAAATATTACCCAAATTAAATTATGAATATTCAAAAGAGGACATTTAAATCTACAAGATGTAAAAATAACAAATTGGTCTGAAGCAGGGATAACGCTCAATTAGACCGATTCAATAAAATACAAGTCTCGATTTGGGGAAAAAAGTTCATCAGTGTACTGCGCTAATATTTTTTTGTGAAACATCTAGAAATATTACCCAAACTAAATTATGACTATTCAAAAGAAGACATTCAAATCTATATTAGGTGAAAAAATCAAATTTGTCCGAAGCAGGGATAATGCTCATTTAGATTGATGAACTTCGTTCTCCAAACCGAGAATCGTCCTTTTGAAACTTTTGAAAAAATTCCCGGGAGCGGGATGGATATATTATATCTGCCCGCATATGGCCTGGAGCGGGACATATACAATATATCCTGCCCGCTCCTTAGATATGATATATATTCCCGGGTGATATCTACCCCAAACCCACTCAAGTATGAAATACATAGCTTTACGTCCCGCTCCGACCGAGCGGGCAGATATAGTATATCTGCCCGCTACGTCATAATCGCCGCTCGCATTTTTGTTCATAATTTGTAACGTTCGCGTAATGACTGTAAACGACAATGGAGAAAACACAGACAATCGGGATCTGTTTGATGGTTAAAAAAGGGAAGGAGCATCCATTTAATCAATCAAAAATTCGAGGAAATAAATGTGGGAATATTTTAGAGAACATGAAAATCCGCCCACGGCCAAGAAAACAAAACTGGACATGAATATTCTAAAATATTTCCACGATTGAACAATGTGAACCAGATGACCAGGATTGGTATGGGATAAACATATTATCCTATAGTCGGTTCAGGATATTGGGATTATCCCTTGGCCAATATAATATATTTTCCCTCGGGACCTGCGGCCCTCGGGCAAATATATTATATTAGCCTCGGGATAATCCCAATATCCTGAACCTCATATAGGATAATCTCTATTTACGTCCCGCCCCGAGCGTGTGGATATAGTATATCTGCCCGCCACGCCATAATCGCCGCTGGCATACTTGTTCATTTTTGTAACGTTCGCGCATAATTACTGTAAACGACAATGGGGAAAAACTCACAATCACAATCTGTTTGATGGTTTAAACAAGGGAAGGAGCATACGTATCCCTGTTAGTACTTAGTAATCAAAGATTCGAGAAAATAAATGTGGATGTACATCCGAACTGGTCATGCTGGTCATGAATATTCTAAAATAATCCCGGTTGTTTGGAAACTGTGGCCGATTGAACAATGTGACCAAGATTGGTATCGGATAAACATCCTATAGTCATCCTATAGTCGGTACAGGATATTGGGATTATCCCGAGGCCAATATTGTATATCTGCCCGAGGGCCGTAGGTCCCGAGGGTAGATATATTATATTGGCCAAGATGATCTGTTTATTTACCTCTAACATTTTTTGACTCGCTGAAAAATCTTCCGTCTCGGGTGTTGCTACGGCAACGTCCCATCTTGTTATGGAACCAACTGCAGCCGTTGACCATTGGAAGATAATTGTTTCAGATGCCATCCTATAATCTGCAATACCTTGTATTACTGTGCCATCTTTTAGTTGAAATGACTCTGCGAATTTCACAAGTTTGTTGGGAATGACAGAGTTATCATCAACTGGATTAAGACTCCTGTAATGTGACATATAATTAGTAAACCGATGTAATGTGTTTTGTTTTTGATGAAGTTACCTTATATTTTCAGTTTTAGAAATACGTTTCCATACCAAACAGTGACAGAATCATTGGCTGGACTCCAGCTATCAGGTGGTCGGAATAGTTTATCAGCATCTCTGGCTTTGATTTCCTCTTCGGTCGCATTACTGAACACATTCCATTTGATATTCACTCCATAGTTTCTCATGGCAAAATCTTTGCGATTTTCCTGGTTTAGAAGTAAGTCAGAAACTTTCATTTCTGATTTGATGAACTTGAAAACTCTGTCAGATACCACCTAAACAAAATAAAGAATGAACATTTTGAGGTTAAGAGGAAACCAAACTTCCAGCCTTGATGAAAACCTGTAACTCTGTTATATCTTACCTTTACAGTTGTATTATAAATGATTCCGCACATTCCTAAATGAACCTTGCATGCAGTGATGACATCTTTGTGATCATCATAATTGAAATGTCTCATTCTACCTTTGCTGTCCACCAGGTCTAGTGCATACACATATGTTCCTATGAGCCCTTCTTCCTTGATGGAGCCCTAGAGCATAATAATAAAACATTAAAATGTACTTACTAATAGATGTTATTTCTTTAAAGTAAAAATACAAATTCAAAATGTATTTTGAAGAATTTGTTATACAGGGCCAAATATCTTAGGCCATAGTTAGTCGGCACTAATTGTCAAAGGTTTGCGTCAGACCGTTCATGAGAAGTAATGCCCCGGGAACAAGTACTTCCTTATTGTCAGTAATTTTGACAATATTTGACCACCTAATATTATTGCTCCCAGAGAAGAGGCCAGAGAAACTGCACAAAGATTTAGAACGAATGATGCCCATTGTACTTACATGAGCAGATGTACCAGTGGCCCCTTGTAGAGTGGGTTCTCCAGTTACAGGACCTGAAGGAATCGTTACACTATTGTTTCTGTTGAATTCGTGCAATTCTCCTAAAGTAGCTGATGCCAGAGAACTCACCAACATTTTTTCCTGAAAAATCAGAGATATGTGAACTTCAAGTGAACATCAAACCAACCAAACTGAATCTGTCGGCGCATTTATGAATTGAATAAACCAAAGAAAATTACAGAATGGAGTAAACACAAAATTATAAACAATTAGATAACTCTTTTACTTATTACATTGACTCATTAAGATTTGACTGTTTCAAACATGGCATTACAACCATATTAAGTAGAAATGCACCTTGTCAATCGTGAATTTATTTCCCTGTAGCAATGATAGATCAAGTCCAATGTTGCCTCTGTCTGCAAACAGAGGTGACCCAGAATGTTTTGCACCATAAGGTCGTACATGTAGTCCATGTGTCTCAGCAGCTGCTACTAGCTTTTGGATCTAAAATCAAGATGTAAGACTCATCAATATTTACTATAATCGTGAGGTCCATGTACAAAGTAAACGGCAGGGCCATAGCCTGACAGTTGACGCACCAAATGACGTAAAGTGGTGTTTGGTTTACTTACTTGTTCAACTGTAGTTGGTTGGGCCCAAAATATTTCAGCACCTTGTCTCTCAGCTTCGTCCCAAACACTAGTCAGCTCAATGTCAAACCCAATCAATCCTTTTAAGTCTTCGGCAGAAGTTGGCCCACCTTCAACACTTGCTGATGCAATCTATTTAAAATCGAAATAATATTCCATCAACATGAAACCATCAATTTTAGGTGGGAAGATGCACCTGTTTAGTCTTTATAAATAAGTCTTCAAGTCAAACTCCAAATAATCATCAGAGCCGTTGCATCACCGTCTACATCGATATCTGAAAAAATCGCATACTAGTATATTCATTTTCTAAAATAACTAGAAATTGGAAAAAAGTTCAATTTCAGACAATTTTTGGTGACATGGAAAAGACAGACGGACATACTGGTCAGACAGACAGGCCGGATAGACAGAACAGACAGTCCGGACAGACAGACTGATCGAAATTTGGTTTGCAGATTCGGATTCCTGAGACAATTTTACTTTCATTTCATATAACTCCTACGTTTAATTAGGATAACTTTTTGTTTAGACCTACTTTCCGGACAAAAAATCTCAAAAGAGGGTCAAAATACTCACTGACAGCAAAAGCTATCACTATAAGCATACTCTTTGCTATATGTAAACCAAATTTTGAAGAATATTATTATAGCGCTGTGCCAGAATCATAAAAATAAGGAAAAACTATGAATTTGACCTAGATTTTGACCTAGGCCTTTTAGTGTGATAGTGTGATTTAGCGATAAGGATTCAAATACAAGAACCTGCTTACTTTGAATAATCCACCCGTTTAAAGGAATAGTATCTAATGTTTTCTCTATTTGTATCGTAACACCCCATGTACTACTGATTTCATTTCTTGTCACTCATAATTTTGATTTTAGAATATTTTTATATTTTTAAACATGCCAGGGACTGAAACTCTGAATTTAGGAAGGTTTGGTTCATATATCGTGATAGCTTTCCTTTCACAGTATGATAGAGGACTTGTGGTATTCTTATGGGTTCGTGTTTAAAAATGCGTTCGATTGAACCATTCTTTTAAAAATGTAAGTAGCGTCCTTTCCAAGTCATGTTGAACTCCAATTATTTTTTTGCGTGCTTTATACAACATTGGTATACGCAGCTACCGATAATGGAAAGGTCGGGTACAACAACGTGTAGAAATTTCTTCTCCAAGTTTCTCAATAACACTGGATTGCCATTGACCACTTACTAGGATTACTACAAGAAGACAATGTAATGATACTTCCCTGAAAAAAGAAAGGAAATACACACAAGCCTAATGCTTTATTTTGAACCAGGAAATAACATGGGCAGGTATAGCATTTTTTCAAAAATGTTTTCTGGGAAAAATAACCTTTAGGCCTTTTTACTCGGTCAAAAAATAAATAAAAAATTTGGGAGCTTCCAATGATTCGAAGAGATCATAGATTTCAAATTTGACACGAAAGGGTAGCTAAGCTTGTTATTGTAATTTGCATTAAAATGAGCGTTGTATCGCACCGGTTATGCCTGGGCCACATTTGCTTCGATCCGTCGGCCGGTGCCCGGCCGATTGAGTTTTTTGTTCAAAATTGTATTCAGTTTGGAACAAAATACTCAATCGGCCGAGCACCGGCCGATGAATCGCAGCAAATGTGACCCAGGCATTACTGACTCTGTTGTACCCGACCACATTATTTTTGCTGCATATGTACATGGTTGTTATAGAGTGAAATCTTATGTACATGTTTTAATCCGTACACATACTGCACAATGGTAAAGTCCGAGTAGATCATCAGAATGGGTTCGTACATGCATGAATGCTTTTAAATAAATGCTTCCATTAAAGAATGACACGGCATTCTGTATTGCAATTTTAATGTACTCTTTATTGCAATTTTATTATACTATCACCACTTTACAAAAATTGAGATTGTCCAGTTCTTTAAGAAATCATAATGCACTGTGATGAAATACTGCACGGTTCAGTTCATTATGGAACCATAGTGCACTGTAAAATAATGTTCCTGCCCCGGATCTTCTACGAAGTTGGCCATATACCTTGAAATAATGCATTGGAAGTCTAAAATACTCCAAGCTGATTGGCTGAGACACTTGGCATATTTCAATTTTAAAATATAAAATTGAGATTGCGTGTCTACTCATGCAGTCGCGTCAGTTAATGCTTCATTTTCATTTATGATCCTGTCCCTAGCCTCTCTGAGCTTACTCGGATTTAGAATGAAATAACTTTTGATTTTCTTTTAGAAGATACCCTGAAGTGTAGGAATCCATAAGTTATTTTTTCAGGTTTGGGTAAAATCAATTTTTATGGCAGGTTATAGTGGCGCCATCTAGTGATTTTAAAGTTGCAGGGTGATAATCTTAATTAATTTTTTTTTCAGCCAAACCTAATTTCATATTTATTTTTTTGCTGTTTCCTTAGAGATTACTTCCTAAACTATGCATTTGAATTTTTAGGTGATCCTGGAAGGTCATTTGATGGGTCATTTTGCCTCAAATATACAGAAGCGCCACCTATAATCAAGGGTCTACCTTATAAAGTTTATTATTCTGAGGCTGTTATGGTAGATAAAATTGTTATTATTGGTGTAATAATTAGAACCATAAAGGGGACATATGATGCAGTATCAAATTAATATATGTGGGACATGGGAACTTAGAAAAATTTTTTTTTGTAAAAGTGGAAGAAATTTGACAAAATATCAGTTTTTACATATTACCAAATACATATGCTTTTTTATTTCTAAGGTAAACCTAACATGATGTAACAAGTAGAAAAATATATATTTAGACAAGTTAAGCTTATGGTTGACAATTACGGTTATTAATGAATACATTATAGACAGAATGAAACCATGCATAAAAGGCGCCATCTATAGAAAATATATTTTTTCTATAAGTTTCATTTGTTTGTAAATCATGTATGATTTTTGAAGGCAAAGTAAGAAACATAGAGAACAATGACAAAATTGAAAGCAAAATGCGCTTTTAGCCTCCCCAAGTCTTCCTGACCATTTCAAATATTGTACCTCCTAATAGATACATGCTATTTTATGAAATAATATAACCATATTTCAGATTCAAAGTATATATATCCACAGCAAAACACTTGAACGTATTAACAGAAATACCTCTATTTTTTAATAAAGAATGCACTGCTTTGAATTTCTAGAAAATAGATGTGATTACGAATATGACATAAATATTTTTGAAAACTGCTCCCTGATCTGATTCTACCTAAATTCCAATTCATTGTAAAATAAGAGACTAGAAAACAACTGTTACATTCAATTTGTTTTGTGATATTTGATTAAAACAGTTCATTTTATCAGCATAAAACATTAATGAAGCATTGCCTCCAAAAGTTCACTCTCTTTTAAAAAGGGATTTTTACATTTATTTGTTTGTAAACTTGTGCATTTGCAGAATGATATGCAGTGTTGCCCACTCTGTTTGCATCCACATGATGCCTGGCTGCAAGTTTTGCATGTACATTGCTTTATCAAATCTTCAGGCCAAATCCTTATGTCCTGCTTTGGGATAAGAGAATCATTTGTGGGGTCCTTCATGTAGCCATATTGTAGGGGATCAAGTGTTACAGCTTCTTCATCTAGAACATGCTGGACTTGATATGTGGCTAAGTGAGCTCGTTTTATGTGGTCTGTTAGTAGGTGTGATGTGGGTGGCAATGAGCTTATTTGAGCTGATTTTGAGTGATGGTACATCCAGTTCCTAAATGTATTCATGGTCATACATTTTGACCCAGATTTCAAAACTTGTACAAGAAACACTTCAGCTTTACTGCAATTTTCATCACTTAGGTTCTCCCCAAAGGTTGCTAAACCTTGAATGTATTCTGGTTTTACTTTCAATGCTGCAGGTTTTGTACCAACTTTACTTGTAACATCTGAACCAGTAAGGAAGTGAATTGCAGGTAAAGCTTTGCTTATATTCTCATCAACTCATTTTTAAATTGTGCCAATACAGTCTATCGCACACATAAAATATATAAGTATATGATATACCTTTTTCAAAATGATATAATTTTCTATGAAGTGATTTATATGCCTGGTGATGGAACATAATGAACGGAGGGGAATCAGCCCATTTTTGATAGAAAATTTAACAAGGCACGCACAGTGTGAACAGAATCGCACCCTTGAATAGAATACAGTTTTTGTAACGGAACATCCAAAATGGCCACCCTAACCTTTACCCAGACTGCCTAAAAAACTAATCAGTTCTAAACTTTCATAGGTAGAAACATTCCTTAAAATTTCCAAAGAATCCATCAAATGGTTTGGCTGGAAACCTGAAGACAAGCCTTGACAGACAAGATTTAAGAACATAAAATCCAAAATTGCTGCCTTAACTTTTACCCAGAATGCCAAAAAACTAATCAGTTCTAAACTTTCATAGGTAGAAACAACCCTGAAAATTTCAAATAAATCCCTCAAACGGTTGGAGTGGAAACCTGTAGACAAGCCTTGAGACACAAGATTTTAGGACGTAAAATCCAAAATGGCCACCTTAACATTTACCAAGAATGCCGAAAAACTAATCAGTTCTGAACTTTCATAAGTAGAAACATCCCTGAAAATTTCAAATGAATCCCTCAAATTGTTTGGCTGGAAACCTGTATACAAGATTATTCGGGACTTCAAAAAATCCAAAATGGCCACCTTACCCCTTATCAAGAATGCCCAAAAGCTTATCAGTTGGCCAGGAAATGCATATAGACAAAACTTTACAGACAAGATTTTAGGCAAAATCAAAATTGGCCACCTCAACATTTACCAAGAATGTCTAAAAATTAATCAATTTAAGATTATTATATAACTAGACAACAGCAACGCCAAAGTGTAGCAAATCCCATCGAACAGCCATGGCTGCCAAAGTGTCATAAAACAGTGTGCCATGCTCAGAACGTAAAATAACACGTGTCAAAATGGCGGCCAAATTGTCATTAGACAGTGAACTATGCTTATGAGTATTCACATATCAAATATGAACAAAATCGCTCTATTACTTTTTGAGTTATAGTAAAGGACATAAAATAACACGTTTAAAAATGGCGGCCATTTTCAAAATGGCCGCCTTCTAGCCAAAGTGTCATAAAACAGTGTGTCATGCTAATAAGTAGTCACATACCAAATATGAACAAAATCGCTCCACTACTTTTCAAGTAATTGCAAAAATTGTAAAATAGCACGTAAAAGACGCCATTTTCATGTCTAGCTTGACTAATGTCCTATAGAACTTTTTACATTTAAAACACATTGCTATTACAGTTCTATACACTGTACCTAAATAACTGTCAAATCGGCACTAAAATGGCCACCATTTTGAAACGAGCAGCCATTTTGAAAATCAGCTTTCGAGCAGGACTTCTACCCCCATAGTGCACATGTATTGTTCAATTTTTTAGATGTTGATGTGTTTATGTTATATAATTAAGTTTTTATACAGGATGTCCCAAAAAAGTGCCACAAAATACATATATAATATATGTAGTTTTGTGGCATTTTTTGGGACACCCTATGTTTCAAAACATCATAAAGTTTTTGTAAAACTAATTAAATATAGTCTGGTTTTGTTTCATACAAAATTCAGATATGGATTTTGAACTAATGGTTTCATGAAGAGAGTTATAAATATCATGGGATAAAAAGCTTATTTACTGAGAGGGATTCAATATGGGTTTATAATGTGAAAATATGGGCCCTCAGGAAATATCATATTGTCCCTTGGAAGGAATAAACCCCATATTAAATCCCTCCCAGTTAAATGGAAAATTGTGCTGAAAGTTTTGCTTCGTTCAAAAATCTTTCAAAAATCGAGTGTTTCTAAGTACTTGGAAGCATCACAGATTTTATTTTCCTAGACACCAACTTACATTCTATATTAGAAATAATTTGAATCATTCTAAGTGATCATAATTTTAATTCTTCTATTTTGTCGAAGATGAGCAATCTTTATATCTTAAATAAACCTTAAGCTTACTTACTTTAATCACATTTTAATAATTTTGCTTCCACCAATTCAATACATGTTCATCTGTAGTCTCAAATATATACTAAATACAAAAAAGAGGTTAGTCAATAAGTCAATTATAGAGGATTACTGTTTTAAACAACCTTCATGCTAATAAGATGTAAATTACCCCAAAATTAGCTGCCATGGCTTTTAACAGGAGTTTCAGTTTTGAGTTTGATATTAACTTATGATGGTATAAATATGATATAAAATTAGATCTAACTCCATTTGGGTGGGATAGATTGAAGGATCATTTTTTATTTGAAAAGTGTAGATACATCTTTTGAGAAGCTCTAATTTTATACAAAATGTTTCTGGCAAAAATTACCTGTAAAATAAAATATAATTTATTCTAAAAGTGCACACTTATGGAAATGATATGATTAATAGATGTTATACTCTATTAATACAAAGAAACTCAGGAAAAGCTTTTCATACATTCATTAAGTACCGTGTTGTATTTCCAGAAGTTGAGTCTTTGATATAATAAGGGGTGTATATCAAACACAGAATAATTAAATAATGATAATGGGCCAAAACCAAAATTCAGCCCTACAATAACTTCATTCATATTCTCAAAAATCAAAATGTATTTGTTTGTACTTGTTACATCATATAAGGATTACCTTAGAAATAAAAAAAGCATATGTATTTGGTAATATGTAAAAACTGATATTTTGTCAAATTTCTTCCACTTTTACAAAAAAAATTTTTTCTAAAGTTCCCATGTCCCACATATATTAATTTGATACTGCATCATATGTCCCCTTTATGGTTCTAATTATTACACCAATAATAACAATTTTATCTACCATAACAGCCTCAGAATAATAAACTTTATAAGGTAGACCCTTGATTATAGGTGGCGCTTCTGTATATTTGAGGCAAAATGACCCATCAAATGACCTTCCAGGATCACCTAAAAATTCAAATGCATAGTTTAGGAAGTAGTCTCTAAGGAAAAAGCAAAAAAATAAATATGAAATTAGGTTTGGCTGAAAAAAAAATTAATTAAGATTATCACCCTGCAACTTTAAAATCACTAGATGGCGCCACTATAACCTGCCATAAAAATTGATTTTACCCAAACCTGGAAAAATAACTTATGGATTCCTACACTTCAGGGTATCTACTAAAAGAAAATCAAAAGTTATTTCATTCTAAATCCGAGTAAGCTCAGAGAGGCTAGGGACAGGACTATTATGAAATTCTCTCTTCAGTATTACTTATTTACTAAAATCATCCTTACTTGTATAATGCCCAGTGCAATTATGAAGAACATGCTTTTATTTTGGAGAAACAGCTTCATATCATCCAGCTTATAGTCACCGAACAGACATCCCCTACTTCACGTACTGTAAAATTAAAGGTTGAAATAGTGAATGAACTTGAAATTGAAAAATAGAATTTTTATGTTCATTGCCCCTACCTTTCATGATATCACAACCTAAAAGTACAAGCATACATCTGTCTGGTGGATAAAGATGAATGCCTCAATCCAATGAAAATAAAACTTAAATATTATACCTCATTTTTGAAGGTGAGACAATGTCAACATTAAAAGTCATGGCAACCTAATGATAACACCTTGTCTATGTACAATGACAACAACTTATATTGTTTTTAGCTAAAAACACCAAGACTTGGATTTAGTTCACTTATGTTATTCATGGGCTATGATGTTTAAGATTACAACACTGCTTGTACTTGGTCAGTGTGACCATTACTAGACCTTCAAACACTGTTTGTACTTGGCTAGTGTGATCATGACTAAACCTTCAAACACTGTTTTTACTTGGCTAGTGTGATCATGACTAAACCTTCAAACACTGTTTGTACTTGGTGAGTGTGACCATTACTAGACCACCTTCAAACACTGTTTGTACTTGGCTGGTGTGATCATGACGAGACCTTCAAACACTGTTTTTACTTGGCTAGTGTGACCATTACTAGACCTTCAAACACTGTTTGTACTTGGTTGGTGTGATCACGACTAAACCTTCAAACACTGCTTGTACTTGGTTGGTGTGATCATGACTAAACCGTCAAACACTGTTTGTACTTGGTTGGTGTGATCATGACGAGACCTTCAAACACTGTTTTTACTTGGCTAGTGTGATCATGACGAGACCTTCAAACACTGTTTTTACTTGGCTGGTGTGATCATGACTAAACCTTCAAACACTGTTTGTACTTGGTTGGTGTGATCACGACTAAACCTTCAAACACTGTTTGTACTTGGTTGGTGTGATCATGACTAAACCTTCAAACACTGTTTGTACTTGGTTGGTGTGATCATGACTAGACCTTCAAACACTGTTTGTACTTGGCTGGTGTGATCATGACGAGACCTTCAAACACTGTTTTTACTTGGCTAGTGTGACCATTACTAGACCTTCAAACACTGTTTGTACTTGGTTGGTGTGATCACGACTAAACCTTCAAACACTGTTTGTACTTGGTTGGTGTGATCATGACTAAACCTTCAAACACTGTTTGTACTTGGTTGGTGTGATCATGACTAGACCTTCAAACACTGTTTGTACTTTGCTGGTGTGATCATGACTAAACCTTCAAACACTGTTTGTACTTGGTTGGTGTGATCATGACTAGACCGTCAAACACTGTTTGTACTTGGTTTTTGTGATCATTACTAGACCTCCAAGCAATGTTTGTACTTGGTCGATGTTATCATTATTAGACATCTAAACATCGATTGTACTTGACTGGTGTGATCATGACTAGACCTCCAAACACTGTTTGTACTTGGCTGGTGTGATCATTATTAGACCTGCAAACACTGTTTGTACTTGGTCGGTGTGATCATTATTAGACCTTCAAATACTGTTTTTACTTGGCTAGTGTGATCATTACTAGACCTCTAAACACTGTTTTTACTTGGCTGGTGAGATCATTACTAGACCTTCAAACACTGTTTGTACTTGGTCGGTGTGATCATTATTAGACCTTCAAACACTGTTTTTACTTGGCTAGTGTGACCATTACTAGACCTCTAAACACTGTTTTTACTTGGCTGGTGAGATCATTACTAGCCTCTAAACACTGTTTGTACTTGGTCGATGTGACCATGACTAGACCTCTAAACACTTTTTGTACTTGGTCGATGTGATCATTACTATACCTTCAAACACTGTTTGTACTTGGCCGGTGTGATCATGACTATACCTCTAAACACTGTTTGTACTTGGCCGGTGTGATTATTACTAAACCTACATACACTTCTAATGTACTTGGCGGGAGTGATTATTGCAAATATTTTCAAAGAGAGTGATTGTACTTTCTATAAACAAAATACAAATATCTCATTTAATGTATGTACAGGGTGTCCTGGAACATTGCCCCCATAACTGTAATTTTGGCCAAACACTAAGTGAGTTGAACCATGTTACTTGGCATATCAATGTAGCTTTGGACAAGCTTTAAAATGATATATGCCACATACTATGGAGACATTGGTATATGTCTGCCTAGGGGTGGGGGCATACTTTCGGGACACCCTGTATGTATCTTTCATTTACCAATTTGTAATTGGAGTTTTTAATTGAAAATATAACTTCTAGCAGCTATATGTAAAATAGGTCTATTTGCGTTGGAATTTTGAATGTTATCGAATTGCATTAGCTAACTTGTTGACATTTCAAAGGCTTCGATACCCATTAGATCAAACTATTTCTAACATGAGAAATGAGTTTTATGGTATTAGCCAGAGCAGTAACAGCAAAATTACCAATGACTAATTGGTTGAAATGTTAGAAAACTTGTAGGTGATTTTGAAACAGTCTAAATAGTCTAAACAGTATTTGTTAAGTTATTGGAAGTTGTAAGACTTTGTACAGACGTCGATCGCCAACCGCCAACAACCAACCGCTATCCGCCGATCGCCGTCACGGGGGGGGGGCATACTTTCGGGACACCCTGTATGTATCTTTCATTTCCCAATTTGTAATTGGAGTTTTTAATTGAAAATATAGTAACTTCTAGCAGCTATATGAGTGTAAAATAGGTGTATTTTCCTTGTAATTATGAATTTTATCGAATTGCATTACCTTACTTGTTGACATTTCATAGGCATTCAATACCCATTCGATCAAAATATTTCTAACATGAGAAATGAGTTTTATGGTATTAGCCAGAGCAGTATCAGTACAATTACCAATTAGTAATTGGTTGAAATGTTATTTGTTGAAAATATTGTATACTAAAGGCAGAATTCGAATCTGATCTATAAGGGGTGACAAAATAACAAGCAACATGTATAATCTATTCCTTACTATATCAAATACTAGTACAATATCTCCCAAAAGATTCACGATATGTTATAAATTGGTGAAGTAATTAATGATTCAAAGTGCAAAAATGGGTGAAAAATGTTTAAATTCTCTCAAATAATAAGAATGGTAAACATTCTTATAGAAAAATAATATATTATTGTAAAAATCTTTAGTTTTCCTGGAATAAAGTTTGCAAGTTTTGTGATTTTTGAAAATAGACATGACAAGGAATGACATGAGCCAAAAATACTCTAAAATTGAAACAATTTTTTGTTGAGCCTGCTCGCTATATCTGATTCTCTCTTTAAATGTAGTTGTAATGCTACTTAAGCTGCTCAATTAATGAGCAATTGCAACTGTTGTAGCTCAAGGTTCATTTTTGGAGATTTTCTTTGCACTATGATTGATATTCATCTATGATCACACTGGATGTGATTTCATATTCCGAAAATAGTTGAATTCCGAAAAATGATGCTTCAGATATATTAAATCCTGATGTGCAGTTGTTTGTTTGTTTGTGTATTCTACGAGGGGTGATTCAAAAGTAATGGATTGTAAGCTACAATTGGTAAGTCAACAGAATTTGGAAATCGTAGAACTGAGAATCCCAATTTCAACTAATTATCTCAAATTATTAAAACATACAAACCTTGGGATTGAAAGTAAAATTGCAAGAGAGATTGCATGGTCTCTAATGAACTAAGACAATCATATTTTTAATCTGCAATAATTTTATTGTGGTCCAAATTTTGAAACCATAAAACAAATAGGAAATCAGACGTTTCGTTTATGTCTCTGTAGTTAGTCGGTGATGCTAAATTGATTGTAAAGTCCAGTATAATACATAAGGGATGCCCATATTGGTTTTCCCGGATTCTTTCCTCGGTAATGCTGTACCAATTATTCATGACTGTCCTCAAAATTCAACATCACTGTGAACATATTCCCGAAGACTGGAGATAGGCTAATATGGATTGATGGGCCATTGCGTTTGACATCTCTCCGATCAATGGTGAGGAACATACGCTTTGCTTGCCCTGGATACAGCTTGTCAATCCATCTAGTGCGCTACATAAGCCCAAGGAGCTCAATGACTGATGGAATATATTCATGCATTCTGTATCTACACTTGCCACACAGCTGCCTGCAAATAAGACAAAATTTCATACGACTGAAATACGCCGTCACAAATAGTACCACAACATTTAGAAAAACCATTGTTTAAACAGTATTCTGTAATTCAAAATTACATATACTCACTTTCCGCTGATGATCCATCGCTCAGTCCAATAGCATTACCAACGTCTGGAATACAACATCTCTATGTTATATTTTTCAAATATCTAGTTAACCATTTACATTAATTTTAAGAAATATATAAGAATAAAATTAATAAGTGTTACTTGCAGTTCCAGCCTGCAATTCGGATAAATAGAAAATTAGATATTGACCTTCTGACTACTAAACGGAAATCTTACCTCAATATACGAGTGTTTACCCTTTGCATTCGTTTGACTTCACTTCTTAAAAGAGAGCTTCGTCTTCACTCTTTCAAACTGAAATAAACCTGTGAACTCACCGCGCCAATCAGTGTTCGTCGGCCAAATTTGACCGACGTTCTATATATGGTCATTCCTTCTGACGTCATCATTGAGCCCGGAATTGACCAATGACATGCGCATATTTAATTAGAACGCATTTGGCGTATGTTTATTCAAGCTCGCTGATTGGAGGTCAGCGCGTAAGTCAAAAGTGATGTAATACCCAAACTGTCAACGGTACCCGTCGTGGGGGCGGGGCTACTAAACTGTAATATGGTCTCTACTAGGCAGAGTGTAGTTTAACTAGACTCTGCACGCAGGGTAACGAGTGTTAATAACACGGTGAATAACATCTCTCTAATTTCTTAATTTTTTAAAAATATTTCACGTAATGATCAACCCTCGAAATGAATATGCACTTACTAGTTCCAACTACAAGTGGTGAAAGTCCAGTCAGTCCGATATCCTGGCTACTACATGCACCTGCTTTCCTCAATCGTCCGGCCATGAACACAATTACACGACCCTTTGTGATATAGTCAGATGTGCATTCTGGGTATTGGGATGCGCATTGGACCAAACCTGTTCACCATGGAAATGTAAAAACGCCGGGGTAAAAACACGTGTTTTGAAATTCTAACGTCTCGTCAAAATATTTAAACATGATGTTACATACAGTCTCTTGCAGATTCTCGGTCATATTTTTCGCAGTTCTCTTAGATTCTTAAAAAATGTTCCGTAATATTTTGTAATTTGGTCTACTATTTGCCTCACATTTCATAGCTAAATGTACCAATGAGAACAATGTACCTCTCATAAGATCACAGTTCGCCCCATTGTTCAATCCGTTTGAAAAATCCTGGAAGCATTGTTGCACATTTACGGAAGAACATGTGTCTCGGGGATAAAACAAAGGGCCGGCGTCTGAAGTTCCTACAGATGCACACAATATCGTCTCTGTCAACAATAGTAGCGTCTCCAGGGAAGGTAGTAGCTTCTTTGTGGACATCTTGTTCTCTGAATAAAGATCTGTATGCAATTGCGGCATTCAATTACTATTTTAATACTCCGAGAACTAAAATGTAAACATTATTTTTATATTAGAATCGAAATTGAAATTCATCTTTGTGTTTTAAGTCTCTTATTTGACAATGATCGTAATCAATCTGAATTCTTCGAGGTACTCTGCGGATTGAGACAGGGAGATAGCATTTCTCCACTGATGCATCTATTATATTTGAATGATGTCGAGAAATATTTATTGAAAAATAATTGCAATCAGATTAATGTTGAAAATGAAATAGATGGATATTTGAAATTATTTGTCTTGCTCTATTCTGATGACACAGTCATCTTTGCCAATAGTAAAGATAAGCTGCAAGATGCTTTTTCTTCGCTAGCAACATATTGTGATAAATTGTGATAAATGGCAAATCAAAATCAATACTGAGAAAACAAAATATATGGTGATCAGTAGGAAAAGGTTGAAAAGAACCGATAACATTACCCTTAATGGCAGTGTAGTTGAAAATGTTCCACACTTTAAATATCTATGGGTATTTTTTGATAGCAATGGTAGTTTGAATTTAGATATGAAACATTTGTATAGTTTAGTTTAATATAGTTTATTTTTGTGTCACAAGCAATAATATTAAAATACATTTAAAACACTTTTTTTAAAAACATTGCTTCTAGCCGATGCCGGCTTATGAGACACCAAGTTAATACATGTGTGGGTAATATTAAAATTCCCCTGTGAAAATTACTAAATGCACAATAAGACAGTAATAAAGACCATAACTTTTGTATACTGAGTCCACTGTTTACTTCCACTTACTAAGAGGAGACATCTTCCCCAAGGTTGATGTTCCTGGGAGCAAATGGAAAAAGAAATCCTGCTTAATCAGTGATGTAAGGGCCCTCTGGTTGGCCCAATACCCTCCTGAGGGGTCCCCCATATCACAGTGGATCTACAGGTTTGCATCTCGTATATATTTTGGCAGTATCACAGTTCTAAATCGTATGTAAAAGTGCTGTAAAGTGGCAGAATCAATATCATATGGCCTTTATCCCCAGACAAGCAACTTATGTATAATTGAATATCAACAAATAGAATACAGTATGAGAAAATACATTATAGTTTGTTATGGAATTATCTCAAATAGAGGTACTGTTAAAGTCTTTCCAGATCAAAGTTTCTTTTACTGAACATCTTAAATAATGTACTTGCAAAAGCTCTCTGTATAAAGGGCGTGTGCATAAGTCTAGTAAACAGCAGAATATGATCATTTGTACCAGTATCAATGCTAGGGGCCTATAGTCAAGCTACCCTTTGCATTCGTTTGACTTCACTTCTTAAAAGAGAGCTTCGTCTTCACTCTTTCAAACTAAAATAAACCTGTGAACTCACCGCGCCAATCAGTGTTCGTCGGCAAAATTTGACCGACGTTCTATATATTGTAACAAATTTTTACTTTTCAAATTTTCGATTATTTGTAGTCTAGTTCCATTTTATCAGTTTTCTTACAGTTAACTCAGTGAGAAAGCGTTTTCCAGTTTGGTTCATAAGTAGTATACTTACATGAATGTTTGTGACACTAAAGGAGTAGGCAGAATCATGTAAACTGCACATTTTTGTGAGATTTCTTTTTGCTTTCATTTGTTTACATTTTTCTCACCTTACTATTGAAGAGCTATCTTGACCTACATTCAATTACTAGTTTTTTCGGTCAATTTCGGCATGATTAAAACCAATGATGATTGGTTTATGTTATATTTATTTAGTTTATACATTTATCGAGTTAATTATACACCAAACATGCATTAATGGTACATTAGATAGCACAGATTGTGAGTTCTAAATGAAGCCAGTTATTTTGCACTATTCATATCCTGATTGCATCATAGTAATTGTACACCAGTCTTGTCCTGTCCAGGGGCCTAAGTATTGCATCAGCCCATTAATCACTTGTTAGGTTCGTGTGCAAAACCTAGTACATGTTATACATGTCGGGGTATAAATAGAGACAACCAGGTGACTCAGTAGGCACTTTCTTGCTGGAACTGAGAGAGGACCGACCTGTGTGCCTCCAGGGATTGATGCTTGATGGACTCTGGCTAATTCTACACATCTATTGATGGACTTAGAAGATTTTCATCCCACATATTGAGGGACTTAGAGGATATTACCCTGGTATACTTAGAGGATCTTAGGCAGATTCGACATACCTTGAGGGACTTAGATGATTATACCCTGGTACACTTAGAGGATCTTAGGCAGATTCGACATACCCGTTGAGGGACTTAGATGATTTTACCCTGATGTACTTAGAGGATCTTAGGCAGATTCGACATACCCGTTGAGGGACTTAGAGGATTTTACCCTGGTATACTTAGAGGATCTTAGGCAGATTCGACATACCTTGAGGGACTTAGATGATTATACCCTGGTACACTTAGAGGATCTTAGGCAGATTCGACATACCCGTTGAGGGACTTTGAGGATATACTTAGAGGATCTTAGATTCGACATACCCGTTGAGGGACTTAGAGGATTTTACCCTGGTATACTTAGAGGATCTTAGGCAGATTCGACATACCCATTGAGGGACTTAGAGGATATTATCCTGGTATACTTAGAGGATCTTAGGCAGATTCGACATACCCGTTGAGGGACTTTGAGGATATACTTAGAGGATCTTAGGCAGATTCGACATACCCGTTGAGGGACTTTGAGGATATACTTAGAGGATCTTAGGCAGATTCTACATATACTGGGAGGCACGTACACAACTTTTGATGAGAAGGAACCTCCACGCACCTCTAGAGATTGATGCCTCAGGGACTTAGACAAATTCTGCATACCATTTGATGGACTTAGAGAATTTTATTACCTTGAGGGACTTAGATGAATTCTGCATACCATTTGATGGACTTAGAGGATTTTTCGGTCGATACACTTAGAAGATATTACCTTGAGGGACTTAGCCAATATTCACCATAGTTGCCTGGAGTTTGATGCCCAGAGGAACTTAGGAATATTCACGTATATATTGAGGGACTTAGCCAATATTCACCATAGTTGCCTGGAGTTTGATGCCCAGAGGAACTTAGGAATATTCACGTATATATTGAGGGACTTAGCCAATATTCCCCAAAGTTGTCTGAAATTTGATGCCCAGAGGAACTTAGGAATATTCACGTATATATTGAGGGACTTAGCCAATATTCACCATAGTTGCCTGGAGTTTGATGCCCAGAGGAACTTAGGAATATTCACGTATATATTGAGGGACTTAGCCAATATTCACCAAAGTTGCCTGAAGTTTGATGCCCAGAGGAACTTAGGAATATTCACGAATATATTGAGGGACTTAGCCAATATTCTCCATAGTTGCCTGAAGTTTGATAGACTTAGAATATTCACCAACTCATTTGATGAACTTAAGTTTATATCTTCAACTTGGTGGACTTAGAATATTCATCGATAATCTGAAGAACTTAGCCGATTCCATACATCTTCAGTTTGATAGACTTAGAATATTTACAGCCCATTTGGTGAACTTATATTATCTTCAACTTGGTGGACTTAGAATATTCATCGATAATCTGAAGAACTTAGCCGATTCAATACATCTTCAGTTTGATAGACTTAGAATATTTACAGCCCATTTGGTGAACTTAGTTTATGTCTTCAACTTGGTGGACTTAGAATATTCATCGATAATCTGAAGGACTTAGCAGATTCTATACATCTTCAGTTTGATAGACTTAGAATATTTACAGCCCATTTGGTGAACTTATATTATCTTCAACTTGGTGGACTTAGAATATTCATCGATAATCTGAAGAACTTAGCCGATTCCATACATCTTCAGTTTGATAGACTTAGAATATTCCCGACTCATTTGATGAACTTAGATTATATCTTCAACTTGGTGGACTTAGAATATTCATCGATAATCTGAAGAACTTAGCAGATTCCATACATCTTCAGTTTGATAGACTTAGAATATTCCCGACTCATTTGATGAACTTAGATTATATCGTCAACTTGGTGGACTTAGAATATTCATCGATAATCTGAAGAACTTAGCAGATTCCATACATCTTCAGTTTGATAGACTAACAGTATTCACAGCCCATTTGATGAACTTAGTTTATGTCTTCAGCTTGGTGGACTTAGAATATTCATCGATAATCTGAAGAACTTAGCAGATTCCATACATCTTCAGTTTGATAGACTTAGAATATTCACCAACTCATTTGATGAACTTAGATTATATCTGTGGACTTAGAATATGCATCGCTCAGCTGATGAAAAACTATATTAGTGATGAACATTTATATATAGAGATAAATATACAAGTATAATTGCATAAAGGACTTATAATTTGCACCTCTGAAACTGAAACTTAGTATCAATTTGTGTTGTATTAATTTTGAGGCGGATGAAGCCAGAATATATATTGTTAAGCTTTCATTAATTATTGTGTCTCTTTATTTTCACACGTACATTTAATGTGTACAACGTATCCCCAAAGTGACCTAGCCTAGTCTAAAAACACCCACACTACCCAAATTAGGCTAGCCGTTACACTGGTGGCAGTGGTGGGATCGTGTTTATTTAGTTGATACAATAATAGAATATGGAGCATGAACAGGATCTTCCACCTCCCCCAAAAATGGAGGACATAACCAATGAAGACCCTGAGAAAACTGTGTTTTTTAAGTCGGATGACATGGAAATTGATAATCCAGGAGCTGCGGATGTGACAGTACCAGAAATAATGGATCCTGCTAAACAGAAACTGTCTCCCAGAAAAGGTATCCCTACAGAAGGAGCCCGACCCAGAATGACGAATAGTGATACGGAGCAGAGGCACTCATCCAGCTTATGGAGCTCTGGGTATTGGACTGGAGCTGTAATGACAGATGTCAAAACTCCATTAAACCCCATATCTCGTAATGAGAGAGATCCTCCAAGAAGACAAAGGTATCCTCTAACGTCTTCTGTT